AGCAACCTCTTGTTTCTTACCAAATTCTTTCTCACATTCTAATTCAGATTGTTTTTGGATCATATTTAATGATTATTTCCAAGGTTTTTTTGTAGTGAAACACTGTGTCATTTGATTCTGGTCTACAAGAAAGCCAAGGAGAGAGGTTTCTCACACTGCCGGCCTCAGGGAACAGGGATATGTCATCCCTGTCTGCGCTTGCTCACCCTTTTCACCCTGCCTGTATTCATGCCATGATTAGATTGTATTCCATTAATTAAACACAAAATTTATATGTGTCTCAGATATAGGATATGAGTGGTGTACTCATTCAGATATTACAAAACAACTGAAACTGCTTTATCTCTATTTATAAAGGATTCTCTCCTCTTTTTAAGAGTCCCCGTGTCCCACTATTTTAAGCCATTAAAACTCACAAATAAGCTTTGTAGCTCAATTAATGGCTATCCTTAAAGCTTCTGCTATCAAACCTGGCCATTTCGCCAGCATTAAGTATATAATAGGCATACCTTCTATTGTTTCAGCCTTTCCTTTATCCTGATAGAATTAATTTTATCACTAAAAATTTTTCAGATTACCTTGTCTGTTTTGTTTCATCAACTGACACAATATAAACACTCAAAGTTGGGTAAAAACAATAGCTTATACAATACTAGAGGCCTGATGCAAGAAATTCATGCAAGGGTCTCGGCCTTTGAAGCCCCAGCTGCCTCACAGCCCCACAGCCCTGTCCCTCTCCCACTGGTTGTTCTGGAAGGTCATTCCAGAAGGTCGTTCTGGAAGATCATTCTGCCATCCAGTCTAATTAGCATATTAGCTCTTTATTATATTGGACTAGAGGCCCGGTGCACAAAAATTTGTGCACTCGGCGGGGAGGGAGGGTCCCTCAGCCCGGCCTGTGCCCTCTCACAGGCTGGGACCCCTCATGAGATAAAAACCTGCTGGCTTAGGCCAGCTCCCGGGTGGCAGAGGGCAGACCCAATCCCTAGGTGCAGCCCCTGGTCAGGCTCAGAGCAGGGCTGATTGGGGAGTTGGGGTGCTGCCCCCTATCATGCACAGAGCAGGACGGATCGGGAGGTTGCGATGCCACCCTCAGTCACCCTCAGGGTAGGGCCAATTGGGGGATTGGGGCACCGCCCCCTGTCACACCAAGGCAGGGTCGATGGGGAGGTTGCGGCGCCACCCCCTGTCACGCACAGAGCAGGGTTAATCAGAAGGTTGGGGAGCTCCCCCCGTCACACACAGAGCAGGGCCCATCAGGGGGTTGGGGAGCTCCCCCCTGTCATGCACAGAGAAGGGCCCATCAGGTGGTTGAGGAGCTCCCCCCTGTCACTCACAGAGTAGGGCCGATAGGGGAGTTGGGGCACCGCCGCCTGTCACACACAGAGCAGGGCAGATCAGGGGGTTGGGGCATGCCACTGTCACACTCAGGACAGGGCTGATGGGGAGGTTATGGCTCTACCCCATCACACACAGAGCAGGGCCCGTGGGGGGGGGGGAGGGTTGGGGCACTGCACCCTGTCACACACAGAGCCACGGGGTGATCAGGGGGTTGGGGAGCTCCCCCATATCAGGCACAGAGCAGGGCTGATCAGGAGGTTGGGGCGCCATCTCCTGTCATGAACAGAGCAAGGCGGATAGGGAGGTTGTGGCCCCGCCCCCTGTCACACACAGAGCCGCAGGGCGATCAGGGGGTTTGGGCTCTGCCATCTGTCACACTGATCCCGGTGCCGGGAGGCCTCTCAGCTCCACTGATCCCAGTGCTGGGAGGCCTCGTGGCTCCAATGATCCCGGTGCTGGGAGGCATATTACCCTTTTACTATATAGGATAGAGGCCTGGTGCATGGGTGGGGCTGGCTGGTTTGCCCTGAAGGGTGTCCTGGATCAGGGTGGGGGTCCCCACTGGGGTGCCTGGCCAGCCTGGGTGATGAGATGATGGCTGTTTGCAGCTGGTCACACAACCTTCAGGGTGAGGGGTCCCCACTGGGTGCCTGGCCCGCCTGGATGAGGGGATGATGGCTGTTTGCAGCTGGTCACACACCCTTCAGGGTGGGGGTCCTCACTGGGGTGCCGGGCCAGTCTGGGTGAGGGGCTGAGTGCTGTTTTCAGGCTGGCGGGTGACTGAAGCTCCCAACTGCTCCTTTTTTTCTTTTTATTCTGTGCCAGCTTTAGCTCTGGCTCCAGCTCTGAGGCCTCTGCCGCTGAAAGCAGGTATCTGGTTTGTTTGGGTTCTATAATCGAAACAATGTATAACTCCAGCTCTGAGATCCTGGCTGGCTGAAAGCAGGTTTCTGGGGTTTTGTTTAGCTTCTATATTTGTAACAATGTTTCAATCTGCAAGCTCAGAGGCCGGCAAGGCAGGCGGGTACATTGGAGTCCTCCGTCACTGAAGCAAGCAAGCCTCATGTTTGCTTCCAGTTGCCTGGCTGCCGGCCGCCATCTTGGCTGGCAGTTAATTTGCATACTGCCCTGATTAGCCAATGGGAAGGGCTAGTTCATATACTAATTACCATGTTTCTCTTTTATTAGATAGGATATCTCTTACATTTTCTTCTGGCTCTTTTAAAGTTTTTAAAGTTCAATTTTGGCCTAGGCCCAAATCTATGCCTTTTTTAAAAAAAAATGTTTATTGATTTTAGAGAGAGGAAGGGAGAAGGATAGAGAGATAGAAATATGGATGAGAGAGAAACATCCATCAGCTGCCTCCTGCATGCCCCCTGCTGGGGATCAAGCCCACAGCCTCGGCATGTGCCTGACTGGGAATCAAATCAGTGACCTCCTGGGTCAATGCTCAACCACTGAGCATTGGGTTCATGGGTCAATGCTCAACCACTGAGCCACATCAGCCAGGCCCAAATCCATGCTTCTGTGGGAATCATACATTCTGCATGATTCTATTTGTAATGAAGCTTACAGATGGGAAAAAGTAATTTATGGCTATAAAAGTCAGAATATATTTTTACCCTGGGTGTCGAGATGAGTTTTGACTAAGAGTGGACATGTGAGAGTCTTTCTGGGATTCTGAAAATGTTTTCTAAGATTTAATCATAAATAAAAATTTATCAAGCTGTGCCCTCCATATTTGCACACTTTATGGTATATAAAATCAAAGTCCATAATAAATACTTTCATACATAACTAGCTGTTTATATAATAAAGAAACCACATATACTTTTTCAACAAGAATACAATGAACTACCTAGAAAGGAGTATAAGAAATGTGTATATTCTATATGAGAAAAGAACTTTAAAATAGCACTGAAGTACACACAAGAAGACTTGAAAAAATTAAAATTAAAAATAAAATATAAAACACACCCTGTTCTTGGATAGGGAGGTCAATCTTAAAAAGCTGACAATTCTCCCTATATTAATGTACACATTTGATGAGATTTCAGTAAGATACCCAACTTTTGTGTTAAATAGAGAAGCTGATTCAGGTGGAAAATTAAATAAGGACATAATTGAAAGACTCAGAAAAATATATGCAGTAAGTGGAAACTAGATCTTTAAGATAGTAAAACACACTATAAAGTCTTGATTATTGAAAATGTAGTCCTGGTACATAAATACACAGAGAGACCAAAGAAACAGACTAAAAATTCCAGAAATGCCCACCAAAACATGTGTGAATATAGTATATGCTGCAGGGGGCAATATAGGTGTCCTTTCAAATTAGTGTGCCAAAGATAAACTGCTCAGTAAAAGCTTCTGGGACAACTGGATAGATTTATATCTATACTTCAACTCTGTGTGGGATTACATTATTTTTTCTTCATTATTTACTGTCTTTCCTGTAAGAGAGCTATATATTTCTTTACACTGCTATGTTTGTTTCCTTGTGGGAAGAGTCACCCTGCCCCCATCCCACAATTGAAGTCAGGTTTGGTCCCATGACTTGCTTTAGCCAATCCTATATAATAAAAGGGTAATATGCAAATTGACCCTAACAGCAGACCCACAGGGAATGACTGGTCACTATGACACATACTGACCACCAGGGAGCAGATGCTCAATGCAGGAGCTGCCTCCTGGTTGTCAGTGTGCTCCCACAGGGGGAGCTCTGCTCAGCCACAAGCCAGGCTGCTGGCTGCCAGTACAGGGGTGGTGGTGGGAGCCTCTCCTGCCTCCTCAGCAGCGCTAAGGATGTCCAACTACAGCTAGGCCTTCCCCCCGCTGGCAAGTGGACATCCCCTGAGGGCTCCCGGGCTGCCAGAGGGATGTCTGACTGCCAGCTTAGGCCCAATCCCCTGGGGAGCGAGTCAAAGCCAGCAGGTGGTCGTCCCCCGAGGGGTCCCAGACTGTAAGAGGGCACAGGCCGGGCTGAGGGACCCTCCTGAGTGCACAAATTTTTGTGCACTGGGCCTCTAGTAGAATTATAAATGGACATGACATACACCTTATCTGAGCTGAAGGTTTAGGAGCCATTGCTTGATTCAGCTATTCTCTTTCTCTCCTTTCATTAGAATAGTTTATCATCAATGATACTTCAAGGTAAAGTCTGTTATTATCCCCATTTCTTTGTGAAAAAGCTGAAGGAGAAAGTCTAAGTAAATGCCCTAGTTATTCAGCTGGTGAGGCAAGGATGGAATCAGGATTTGAATCTAGACAGTCTGGCTCCAGTGTCTAGACTTCAACCTCTGCACAGTGCTGCCTATCTCCAACACATTCTAACTTTAAATATTTTAGTCTCTTGTGAAGTCCAGTTTTGTTGTCTTAGCTTAGTGACAAAGACAAATATTCCTTGTTTCCTCTCAAGAAATATTTATCCCTTCCTACTCATCAATACTTTTCTCCCCAGCTTCCTAGCTCAGTGAGTGATTTCCCCCCCCCTAAGATTTCTCAGAACATAAATTATTTTCAGTTATTGTCTAATTGATTTTATATATTAAATTCACAGTGGTAATATAAGCAGTTATATTTCACATCTGTACTGTTCACATTATTTAAGACAATATAACTCATTATGTAAACATGTTTGATTTATAAATGATGGAACGAATAGCTTGATTAGAAGTATATATTTATTCAACAAGCCTTTTTGATGTCTGTTTTACAGAGATAAACAACCCAATTCTTTCTAAATTCAAGTACAGGACAGGGAATCCAGCAAAGGATGTAGTCTAAATGTGGTCCTCAAACATTGTCTTGCTCTGCATCTATGGTGAGAAAAGAAACATAAAAGAGTTGTAGGGTTTCTTCAGAAATATTCCCTCAGTTGAATCTGAGCAGTGAGTGTGAGCTAAAGCTGGGGTTAGCAAACTTTCTCTGTGAAATGCTAGATGCTAAATATTTTGGCTTTGCAGGCCGTATGGTTTACGTCATAACTACTTAACTCATAATAGCAGCCATAGAAAATAGATATGAGTGTGGATCTGTTCCAATAAAACTTCATTTATAAAAATGTGTTGGGTTAGATTAGGCAGGAGAATCATAATAGTTGGCCCTTGAAATGAAGGAAACCAATTAGCTGTGATGTGAAATGTTGTCTATTATTGCTGGCTATCCCACAAACATAAATAAAACTTATTGACTTTTCTTATAATGGAATGAATATCTTAAATCGGAGAGCCCACCTACAGGGTAAGTACCATTCTCCAGTTTTCTCTTTGTGTGAGAATGTGCCATATAAATTGTCTCAGATCTAGGAAAAGACTTGTAAAGAATTTTAAATTTAGAAGAACATTTAGGGAGCAAAGTCAATGGAGTATGATGTTGATCATGGCATGTGATTTCTTACCTATGCTGCAGGGGGCAGTGTACTCAGCAATAGCGGACTCATCTAAGAAACATTAGGTGAAAGGAGAAACAAAAAACATCTATGAACAAGAGGCCATATTGAATCTATTTACTTTACTTTTGGTGAAAAGTATATCATATCAGGATTGTTAAAACTCTATTCAAATAGGCCAGAGTTGAACAGGATAGCTAACATATTTATTACCCCTTTACCCCCCCTCCCCCCGCCATCGGGAGTGGAGAAGGGGGATTGAAGACTGTTTAGATAGTATTCAAATTTTAAATTCTTAGGAAGATGACCATTGTTGCTCTCTTTTTTTCTTGTAGCTCTTTCTTCCATGAACTCTCTGCTTATACTCACTTTATCCAGCTTGCTTCCTGAATCCCTTTTCTAAGATTATTGCTCTAGCCTAAGATGCTTTTGTTATTATTTTTTAGAGAAAGTGGAAGAAAGAGGGAAAGGCAGAGAGAAATATAGATGTGAGAGAAACACATCAACAATTGGTTGCCTCCTGAATGCGCCCTGAAGGGGAAGAGCCTGCAACCAAGGTATGTGCCCTTGGAGGGAACCAAACCTGGGACCCTTCAGTCCACAGGCCAGTGCTCTACCCACTGAGCCAACTGCCTAGGGCTCTACTATTTACTTTAGAAGGTGTACTTATCCATTAGGATTCAACTCAGATCTTTCTTCCTCTGTCTTTTTTTCCTATTTGTCCATATTAAGCACTAGTCTTCTGTGCTATTTTCACTTCCCCAATTTCTTATCCCTTATCTTGGTAACACTCATTTATCATTTAACTGTCTTTTCTGGTTACATTATCTTTCCATGTGTACTATGTTCTTTATGTCTCTAAACTATTTGAGAGCAGTCACCAAATATCTTTCTTTTTTTTTCTTTCCCTTCATAATACTTTATTCGGCCATAGATTTTCAATTCTTTTAAAAAAAATCTTTTTTTTTCGTTTTTTTTTTTTTTTATTATTAGTTAAGGTATTACAAATGTGTCCTCATCCCTCCCATTAACCCTAACCTCCCCCCCCCCCCCCGCCGCCCTGCACACTCATGCTCCCATCCCCCTGTTTGTAAATTCTTAAGTTTCTGACTCAATAAATATTAATTGATAAATTTGTTTGTAGGTGATTTCTACAGTATATAGCTTGGAGGAAAGGGACAAATAGATATAATATTGATTGAATGGTCTAAAACCAGGGTTATTGTCATCTATTTCTTGGTTTTACATTGAGACTATTTAATTGTCTCAGTTTTCTCTCACTTACGTGTCTCATAGTAATCATAGACTTTAACAATCGCTGGCTTTAGGTCTCTTACTGGGATGTCTTGCAGAACCGTGAAAGAAAAGCTTAGTGTCTGAGCTGTCACCTAAAAGGAAAAGTGGGAGTAATAAAGAGGTTAGAAATCCTCTTCTCTCTTCTTTGAGTAAAACATATTCTTTATTGTTCTCTGACTCTTCTTCACCTGGATCTTCTAGGTAAGCAAACATTTGTGGATGCCAAGATGGGTTTAGAAGGCAACTTTGGGAACTCTTTACAATGAACAAAATCCCCAAGATATTCTCCTAAACAACAGAGACAACAACCCATATGCTCTTGTAGTCCTCTGTAAGAAATTAACCGAGTCTATGTGAATGTGTTTTAAGATGCAGAGACTTGTACCACCTGTAGTTATAATAAAAAACTATTTTTGTGTGGTTAGATAAAACATTCCTTTTGATTTTCTATTGGCTTTGAAGATACTCATGAGATCTACATTTTATTATATATAGTGATATATTTATCAGAATATTAACAGTATTATTAATCAACCACAGTGGTGTATTTATTCTTTTTGGTGGGTCTTTAAAATAACACACATGTTAGACATTTATTCTGTTGATTTTCTACTGGAAATCATAGAAATATTCATATTCCAATTATAACATAATTAAAAAGAGAGCAGACATTCTATGGATTTAAAAGGAGATTTTCCTTTTATTCTCTTTCGCATAGATTAACTTTCTGGAAGGGTGTTACTAATTATTGCTTTCCTTACATTACTTATCTTCTATTGACAAGACCCACTTAGAAAGTCAACTGATGTATATAGTCTCAGCTCAAATGCCAGAGCTCTCACCTGTTCCACATAAATGATGACATGGTTATTGCTCACTTCTGTCCTGCTCACATGGTTAGATCTTTCAAGCTGAAGAAAATTAGAGAACTCAAAAAGTTAGACAATAGATATCAGAACACTGAGACCTAGAGCAGATTGTAGAAAGGGACAAATGTTTATTCTTTAAATAACATGAGGGCTAGAATGCCTATGACTCATCTTCATGATTAAACATCAAGGTACATTAGCTATACAAAAGTTGGGTGAGTGGAAGGAATCACATATGCAAACAGGCTTCAACACTGTCATGTCTTGATTGAAAAAAATCACTTGGAATTCTATCAAGAGAAGGAAGCCAGCTATTTTCAGGTCAGGATTTTCATTATCCTTCAACATTCAAGTAACATGTTAGACTCTCTGGCATCTTTGCCGATTCAAGCTCACATTAGTTTTATCATTGCCAAATTTTGTGTGTGCATATTAGTCAATTTGATATTTAATCATAGTCTGTTTTTCTTGCTTGTCATTTTATTGTTTCATGCCCACGTGCTTTCAGTTCCTAACTGGACCATGAGTGGCCTAAGGATAAGATATCCCCTTGCAGTTCTCTGGTATCACACAGGTCTCTTAGCTTAGAGCCAAATAAAAAGTTACTGAATTTAATTTCATGGGTTTGGGGAAAAACAGTTTTTGAGGCAGGATGATATGGATAGAGCTTTGATATTGGTATGGTCTCATTTGAAGATGCATAACATCCTTTTGTATGGGATCTACCTAGGCTTAAAACACACCTACCATTTTTACTGTTGGTTTCAAGGGAATAAAACCAGATACCATTTTCACATCAACAATCACCATATTGGAGACAGGGCGGCTCCCTCTGTAACTGTAGTGTCAGAGAAAAAAAGGAGTTAGAATTTATTATGTGAAAGAAAGCCAAAGTTCCTCTTTCAAGACCCACCAAAAACCTGTCCATCTTCATGAAGTTTCCCCTAAGATTATGACCTACAGAACTCTGTGTTTCCTGGACATGTATGATATCAATATACATCAGATTTATAGCTTACTAAAATCGTAGATATTCAAGGCTTAGTCCCACATGATCAAAACAGAATCTTTGGGAGTGGAGTTTGGTAATCTGCTTTTGTAACACATCTACAGGTTTTGGACATTCTACCTATACTACTCATTTGTTATTTAATATATCTTACTTTTATATTTTTAGTTAATTTAAATGTAGCATGTCTCCAAAGAGCGGCTCCAAAATGTAAGGACAGATAAATTCAAATGCTTTATACTTCAATTAAATTTATGTTTAAAAATTGGGTTGGTTGTCTGAAATATCATTTATTTTATAATATTAATGTCATTAGTATTAGATACAAAGCAATATAATTTGGGCTATGTTTTCTTAGGACTCCTGCAAAGTTTTTAATGGCTCATGATAGGGCAACATCTATATTTTATATGTAATAAATACTTTGTATTTAATATTAGCATTTATTACTTATTCATTTGATTAGAAAAAATAAGGTAGAATATAATTATTCAGAAGAGGTAAGAAAGATTTACTTCAACTTAAGGTAAAAATATTTGAAAAAATAATTTATTATTTTACAATGAGTTAAATAAAAATTAGTGTAAACGATTACTAGGAATTAATTAGAACATTTAAAAAATTTACAGTTTTTATTAAACATATTTAAGACTAGACTTTGCTTTCAAATGCTTTTAAAGCATTATTAAAACTTTAAGACAAAACATTTACTAGAGAAAAAGATAATTTCATAATGATAGAAGACTAACTTCATTAGTATATATATATATATATATATTAATTTTAAATTAAATTTATCTACTAGCATAGCTTCCAAATATATTAATGATTGATGGTTCCAAGTAGCTTTTAGACTCAGGATTAGCTGACTCAGTCAGAAGGTCTTACCTGACATTCACTGAGATCTGGAAGCTGGTATGGGCTTTGGGTCCATCACAAGTTTGGGGCAGAGTTTGTACCTCCAAGGCAAATGGGGAATCCTCCTTTTCTGGAAGGATATTATATTTCATGGATGTCTGTGGAACACCAAAGACACCATCAGTCTTTCTTTTCCTGGGAAGCCTCACTTTTTCATCATTTAACTTCTCCAGATTTGCCCTTTACTTGTCCAGGAAGCAAAGAGCAGAGCTTCCTTTTCAGAGGAGAGTTTCAAGTTGATTTTTTCCAATATAATTCTAGAGTCTCACCTGAAGATACACACATCTTTCCCCAGTCACTGTTATGGTGTATTCCCCAGGCAGCTCTGGCAATGAGACCTGCTGCAGTAACAGGAGGTTGTTGCTATCCACTTGGAATTTTGTGGAAAAGGTTTTTGAATCACGAATGGTCACTTGTGCAGTTTTCTGAGTCCTGATGAAAGTGGCTGCTCCATATTTAGACAGGGCATGGAGAGCTATCACTGTGTCCTGGAAGAGATGAGGGGAGAAACCACACCCAAAGAGTAAGTTTTTGATGGCTGGGATTTTCCTCAAAAGTCTGTGTTAGCTACCGCAAGGGCGTGATGGCTTTCCTCCCCTAAAGTATACAACTGCTAATTGCTTTTTCTTTTTCTCTGCCTTTAAGGCATAATCAAAGTCATGCTATAGTTTCTCCAAATGAAATAAAAGACTATTAATGCAAATTAGATTCACAATTTCATTTCACTTGTGTTGGTATTGTCCCAAGGGACTATTTCTATGCCCAGAAGTTGTGCCCTGCTCTTTCTCATCAATACTTCTCTTTTTTATATCTTTCAAAGAATAGGTTTAAAATTAAAAAGTTAAGTCAAAATAGTGACTGTCATTTACTAGACAGTAATTTAGATAGAAGAATGACAGAAATTTGCTGAGAATAAAAAGTGTAGTATAAGACAACTTGCACTTTCCCAAGTTTCTTTTCCCCTTTATATATTCTCCATCCCCCCAAGTCACTGCCTTATTGAATTTTATTTTTATTTCTTAATCTTTATTGTTGAAAGTATTACATATGTCCCCTATCCCCTCCATTGACCCCTTTAGTTCGCACCTGCTCCCTGCCCTCAACTCCCTGCCCCCCGCCCCCTGCCCCAGGCCTTCACTATCCAGTTGTCTGTGCCCATGAGTTATATATATATATATATATATATATATATATATATATATATATATATATAGTTTTACATATATAACTAGAGGCCTGATGCACAAAATTCTTGCAAGGGCCTTGGCCCCGGCTCCCTGCCCACAGCCGCAGGCACGGCCGGGGGCCTCTTCCACCTCTGCCTCCTCTGCCTCGGCCCCCATCCTCTGCGTCTATGTCCGGAAGGAAGGACATCTGGAAGGCTATTTGGTCTAATTAGCATATTATGATTTAATTATTATAGATATCCCTAAAAAACAAAAGTTACATTATGTACATCCAAAATACTGAAAGATGTGTAAGAGTGGAAATCCAGATGGTTAATACAATCATTTTTGCACTCAATAAAACATTTCCAAAAATGTGGTATGAAAAAAATAATTTAAGAGATTTAGCTTAAAAACAATCAATTTTAAGGAGGGGGGCGGTTGTAAGAAGACAGGTCTCAGGGCAGTTAGAAAGGACTGGAGAGTCTGAGTTCCTTGGAGTGATTAAATAGAACTTCTTATTCATTCTATGAAGATCAAAATGAGATCTAAGTGGTCACTTTCCTTTTAATCACACAATGTTCTGGTTCATCTTAGAGAATTTCTTGCAGGATTAACACTGATTCTCAACCAGGGTTGATTTTGTCTTGTCTTAACTGTGAGTAGAATGCTACTGGCATCTAGTGGGGAGAGACCAGGAGGCTGTTAGACATCTTTCAATGGCCAGGACAGCCCCTCACAATAATAATTATCTGGAACAAAATGTCAACAGTTTTGCTATTCAGAAACCCTATTCTAGAGTGTGGCTATTGACCGATGTGTGCTAATGATATAATATAGCTTTAGAGAGGAATGGTGCTTATGGTTAAGTAGCCAAATTGATGGGATAATGCAGGGCTTAGTGAAAATTGTTTGGGGGAATGACTTGGGTCCTTTTCCTTTTTCTCCTACTGTTTCTAAATATTTCTAAATAATTCTTCCAAGGTTTAATGATTCACCTTCTCTTTTCTTTGTAACTGTTCTGTTTTCAAATTGGCCAACTGTCAAGTGAACCTGGAGGAGAAGACTATATGGGAACCACAAACCTGGGTGGAGGAGAAACCCCCATAGGAATTCTGTTGCTTTATGATCCACTTCACAATGTGCAATGCAGAAGTCAGGTCCTCTAAGCTTGGGGCAGGCTGGGCAGTGAGGTATGCCAGGAGCACATAGGATGTCATCTCCACCTCAGCAGAGGGAGCCTGGGGTTGGTAAAAATACCCTTCTGGTGCCCTGTTTTTTTGAGGTCGTTCCCAGTGGACGGTGTTGTCTTAAGGGTGAGAAAAAGAGAGAATTATAACTATTGGTAGATAATAAGTGAATATTCATATCATATGGAGTTGAAAATAATAGAGAGATGAAGTAAGGTCCTCTCTGTCATTTCCATGCTGAACTCAAGTTTAGTCCTCTGGGCCTAAGACCGAGAATGTTGTTGGAGGAAGAAGCATAGTGCACACTTGTTAATCTCTTAACTATATATATATATATATATATATATATATATATATATATATATATATATATATATATATAATTGAAAGAGAAACAAGACAGAGTTTTCTTGCTATTTGTGATATTTCCTGGGAATTGGAGTATGAATTGGATATAAAGCCTACCTATTACATTCCTCCAAAGAGGACACACAGATGGCCAATAAACATACGAAAAGATGGTCAACATCACTAAGCAGCAGAGAGATGCAAATTAAAACCACAATGAGATATCAACTCACACCTGTTAGAATGGCTGTCATCAATAAATCAGTAAAGAAATGTTGACCAGGATGTGGAGAAAAGGGAACAGTCATGCATTTTTGATGGGAGAGAAGATTGATGCAGCCACTTTAAAAAACGTATGGAGAGTATGTACCCAAAGAAACCCAAAACACTAATTCAAAACAATATATGCACTCCTATGCTCATTGTAGTGTTATTTACAACACCCAAGATATGGAAGCAACCCCAATGCCCATCAATAAACAAGAGGATATAAAAGCTGTGGTATACATATGTACATAATAGAATATTATTTAGCCACAAAAAAGAATGCAATTTTACCATTTGTGGCAGCATGGACAGACCTAGACAGTATTATGCTAAGTGAAAATGGTCATAGAAAGACAAATATTGTATGATTTTACTTATATGTGGAATCTAAAGAACAAAATAAATGAACAAACAAAATTGAAACAGACTCATAGATACAGAGAACTGACTGATGTTTGCCAGAGGGGAAGGAAGTTGTTATTGGTGGTGGTGGGGGGAGCTGCTGAAAAAAGTGAAGGGATTAAGAGCTACAAATAATTAGTCACAAAATTGTCCTGGGGAAGTACAGGATAGCATAAGGAATATGGCCAATATTGTAATAACCATGTACGGTACCAGAAGAATGCTTGAAATATCAAGGGGACCACTTTGTAAAGTATGTGATTCTTTAACTACTATGCAGCACACCTAAACTAATATAAAATGATATTGAATATAAACTGTAATTGAAAAAAATAAAACCTACTTATTGAGCTCATAGGACTTTTGTAATAATCTGGCAAAAAGAGATAAAAACACTTTGAAAATGTTATTGCAATTTCTTTAGTATGGCTTTTTCTTGTACCATTTATCACCCAAGTATGTAGGCACTTATCCTATAAAAATATATATTTGTTTAATATATTGCTTTCAGCAGGTAGAGATAAAATTCCATCAGTTACCTGCAGTATTATGTATGGTATAACATATGCAATCCCAGAGAATATATTTTTATAAAAGGTGTTTTGACCTCACAACAGATAATTTGGCTAAAGAATTAAAAAGCTTGTTGCTTTCAGCAGGAATATATTCCTCCTTATAGAATTTGTGTAAGTGGAAGGGGAAATTTTTTTTTAACCATTTGCTCTCACCTTCTTTTTTTAAAAAATATATTTTATTGATTTTTTATAGAGAGGAAGGGAGAGGGATAGAGAGTTAGAAACATCAATGAGAGAGAAACATCGATCAGCTGCTTCCTGCACACTCCCCACTGGGGATGTGCCTGCAACCAAGGTACATGCCCTTGACCGGAATCGAACCTGGGACCCCTGAGTCCACAGGCTGATGCTCTATCCACTGAGCCAAACCGGTTAGGACTCTTTTTAAAAAAATATATATTTTATTGATTTTTTACAGAGAGGAAGGGAGAGGGATAGAGAGTTAGAAACATCAATCAGCTGCCTCCTGCACACTCCCCACTGGGGATGTGCCCACAACCAAGGTACATGCCCTTGCCCAGAATCGAACCTGGGACCCTTCAGTCCCCAGCCCGACGCTCTATCCAGTGAGCTAAACCGGTTAGGGCATGCTCTCACCTTCTTTCACAGCTTCTTCATCCAGAGAGTTCAGTATTTCTCCCCTCCTATTTTGGTTTCCTGCTAGGGCAAAAGCGTAGGCCAACAATGCCTTGGTGTAGATATGGCTTCCACGGGGCCCCTCCTTTGCTGTATTCCAGGCAGACTCCAGGCAGAGTAGGGCCATTTGAACAACAGAGTTCTGTGAAGACAAAGAGGTGCTGATGTCAAACTAGGATAAGTAGAGGATAGAACAAGTTCTGAGTTGGATATTGCTTGACAGATGTCATTCATGGTTTTCAGCCAGCCAAGTAGAAAGCCAATATCCACTATATTTAAGCCGAGAAACATTTTAAATTTCTTAACTTTATATTTAGTTTTCAAAAAATAAGGCCAGGGAACATGCGTTTTTAGGATTAGTTTTGGTACATAGTCCAAGGGCATTATTGGGCAAGTATAAATTCCCTTTAATGGAATTGACTGAAGAGCTCATCTGGCTGAGAAATGCCTCATCATTGAGCAAAATGAAAGCTGAGACTTGGCTTTTAGTGTAGAGGTGTTCCAGACATCAGGCCTGTAATTTTCATAGTAGGAAGTGGGACTGAGGTGAGTCTTACAGTGACTGGAAGACCACTCTCCAGAAGAGCAATAGTGATGTAGACAGAGAGGGTCACTTCGTCTTCCACTCCTCCCTGTAAATGAGAGAGAGAGAGAGAGAGAGAGAGAGAGAGAGAGAGAGAGAGAGAGAGAGAGAGAGAGAAATTTTGATTAATTGTACTTGATTAATTGCACTTCTAAATTTTAGTATATTCTCTGGTCTTTAATGCAACTTGTCTTCAGTATCTTCTCTATCAAGCAAAGTAACACCCTCATGCAAAGCACCATTTCTTTCTTCTTTATAATTTTCAGGTTTATAACTCCTTCCTAGATGCCCTCTCACATTACCTAAGACTTCATCTTTGCAATTTTCCTGTGCCTTCTTTCTCCTATCACGTTTGGAACAATGTTAATATTGATGTATCATGGGGTTCAGCATAAGTACTCACAGCACTTCACCTTAATGGCATTGTTGAGCAGTGACCCAGAGTTTCTGAAACAGCCATTCTCCTTTTGCCTCTGGGAGAGCCACACGAGGGCTTGGGTAATGTGTGCTTCATCAATGAAGATGTAGCTTTTAGCCTGGGCAAAGGTCTGCAGTACAAAGGCTGTGAGCCTGAAGGATGAAGAAAAGCAGGCTTCTGAGACCATTTATTCTCATACAGCACCTTAAAACTCTGTTTTGCACACATAGACTCCCACTCTCCCCCAATTCACCCTCATGAGAATGAAAGAGCTATTGCTGAGAGTTTGGAAACTTTTTCTGTTAACCTGTTAGCTTCTTTCTATTTCTTTTTTTCCTGTGGCATGTTGTTAGATGTCTTACCAAGGATTCTTGCTTCCAAAAGCATCACTTTAGAGATTTAGGTTTCTCCTAGTTTTCTTGGGGGTGGTTAAGATATTTGCTCTCATATTCTGGACTTTCTGTATTTATTTGTTTCCATTGATTTCTTACTTTGTCTTCTGCAACTAATATTCTATTGGTCTGTCTTCTTTTACTGGTCTGTTTCAGTAAATATTTTTCTCTACATCATCCTGCCTCTCTACTACTTTTCAGGTTGTTGATTTCCTCTTGTTTTCTTGTATGGTCATATTTAGTTCAGATAGATAGATAGATAATTAGATGAATGGATGATAGATGGACAGATGCATAGATGAATTGATGGACAGGTGGATAAATGAATAGATGGATAAATAGAAAAGTAGATGGATGGATAAATAGATAGATGATAGCTAGATAAATAGATAGAGAGGATCATCTAGTAGAAGGTGGTAAAGTATGCACTGTGAGTAATGGCTGCCATTTTTCTAGCCTGTTTCTAGCATCTCAGCACTGTTCAACAATTTATGAGGGCAAATAAGAAGTTTATAATGGTTCCTTACCAACATAAGAAAGAGGGGCTTGGTGTGTTGATATAAAAATAATCAACTTCAAATGTTCTCAGTTTTGCCATTTATTAGTGGTTTATACTAGAGACATTTATTCATCCATAATGAACATCATTTCCTCTGTAAAATGAAGCTAATAGTTTTCATTTCACAGGATTATTGTAAGAATTAAGTAGGTGAATAGACAGAGTGGGGCAAAAGGAGGTTTACAGTAGTGAGTATGCAAAACACAGTTTATTCTTGTATTATTTATTAATTATTGTGTTATTTTCCATATGAACAACTGTAAACCTACTTTTTGTCCTACCCTGTATGGACATGCTTTGAACTCATAGTTGAAACTCAGAATGATTTTCTTTTCTTACCAAGTGTTGCCCTCATTTCTGCCAGACTGATCCCCGAAGGCGCTATAGGAACCATCTTGATGTTTGTAGTTCAGCTGCCTCTGGTAACCTGGAATGAAAGTATCATAGAAAGGCAGGCTATCTCCAGGTGCAGGCTGATGGTATCCAGACTCCCCTGACATTTGATGGCTCATGGGTATGATCTGTCATAGTGTTATGGCTATCACCCATATGTCAAAATGCAACATTGTATCAAATGGTGGGAAACTTTGCATTTCTACAAAAATCACTCCATTAGCTTGATCACTGGTGATAAAATGCCAGCGTAGTGGGGAAAAAAGCCCATTATTAGTAGAGTAACATGGTAAACTTTTCTTTGTCTCACTTACCACTGACGAGAAAGGCAATGGCCTTAGACTTGATCTCTGAAGTCAACTGTTGGGTTTCACTCAGATAGTTCAAGACATAGATGTTAGGAGCAAAAAGGACCATGTTTTGTTCTCCGCAGCCATAGGGCATCTGGAGGAGATTCTGTGTATTTTGCATAGCAGAACCTAGTATGTCACCTGGGCAATGTGAGATTAAATGTCAGAGTTATTTAAGTTCATATGTAGCCAACATTAGTAAACTCCGATGATTTTCGTATTGAAAGTCAGATACTTTATCATTTGGACAAGGGAACATTTATATTCAGAAAAAGTGAGCCTGCCAGGATTCTATATAAATTGACACATTAATAGGTTGATATTTAGAACACAAATATATAGATAAAATGTATGCTTGGCAGTTCTTTTGTCACAAGTTTTCTAGATGCAAGATAACTCACCCAAAACTGAGAAAGAGGCTCTGGCAGATTCTTTGACCACATTTGGTGGGAGCTTCAGGGATAATTGCTCAGATATTTCAGTACCTTTGGAAACAAATAATCTATATGAAAGGATGGCATCCATTATAGTAGTATAATCTAGTGGTTACTTAACCTCTTCCTACTTTTACTTGCACATGTGATGATTCAGTGAAATAATACATATAAAATGTGTGAATTAGAACAGCTTTGGCAATATCTTAAATCTCAATGCATGTGAACCGTTATTATTATTGTTATCATTACATTTAGCAATAGCATTATTATGCCTCCGTGAGGAACCCTGTGTCCAAGAAATAAGAATTTTGACTTATGATGAGATTACCTTTAATAGTCTAGCTTTTCTTGGCACTACAAAACTGCCCGAGTCCCTTTCCCTCCCGTTTTACCATCTTCTATGTTGCTGTGTGCACACTAGCTCTCTTAAAGAAGGCTAGGAGCTGATGAGGATCTAGAGTTTTCTGAATTACTTGTATAATTCTCTGATTTGGTTGGCCTCTAATGTTAAGCCTTAAATTGGTCCTTCTTAAGTGTCAAGAACAGTGTTTTATATACTATGAACATAGATCTAGTGCTAATGTGCCAGTATAATTTACAAGCTACACAATTTAATGTTTTTTAATGATATGGTAAAATCCTGATGCAAAGTGGAGTTCTTCTTTTTTTTCTATGGAAAACAAGTTTTTAGTAAGATGAGCAGAAAGTGCCATATGCTTTATTATCAACTATTTTAGAGAATATTAACTGTGATTCAAACTTGTCATGACTCTGCTTTCTTCCTACCTCGTGCTGTGGCACTCTAAGCCTTTGCATCCTGCCTCACTGATGAGCAGCCACTGGCTACGGAGATAAAGGCTGAAAGTGAACCAAGCAAGCCCTAGTAGTAGTCTTGCCTGCACCCACAAGCCACATTAGCTGCTCTCTTGGGCTCAGTGTTCCTATTTGTAAAATATGTACAAAGAAATACTTAGTATTAAGCCGAATTGAATGGAACATTCTGAAAATTATGGGAGATAATATGTAAGACTGTGCATTGTAACTTGAAATATACACCCTCGGGAGGCGTTGTTCTCACAATGGTTATGAAGATTGGCTCTTACCTGAGGTACAGGCCATAGAATTGAAAGTCTTTTCTTGCTCAATACCTTCAGGCTTGGGTGAAAAGAAAAAAAAAATAGGAAAGAGGGCTAAGTATCGAGGTGACTAAAAGACAACCATCGATTGTTTACTTTGAAGGGTGGTGTTTACACTAAATGATGCTATCAAATCCTACTTGTTATCAAATTAGTGTAAATGTGTAAAACATTGAACAACAAGGGATATTGGCTGAGGAGAAAATGAGGGACACTAAGGCAGAGAGTCAAATGTAATAGGTGAGAGAAATATTTGACTCTTATAGGAGAGGTAGAGATCAGAAAAGGAAAAGGCTCCTAATGATGTTTTTTAAAAAAACTATGCAATAAGTTAACAAGTTTACATAGCAAAGTTTCTCATAATATATGCTTTAAGGATAGGAAATTCCATTAGTCTTATCAGATGAATTCTGTATGATACTAATTATCCTTTGTTACCTCAAGAATGTCCATACTGTTTTGTTTTTTTATTATTGTTATGGCCTCAGAAGCATATGTCAAAGTAATACAGACTTACTTCCACCAATAGGGTTTTGATGACCGTGTCTTTCCTCCCAATCTCAGGGACCTCAGCAACCTTATTTCCACAAAGCTCTAGGGACTTCACTGCCTGGGCGCTCACCGAGAAGTTCATATTCCCTAAAACAAAGAATGTAGAGAAAATGAGTATCCATCTTGACAGTAGTCCAAGACATCCCTAATAGCTGAAAATGACTCTATGCTCTGCAATCACCTCAAAGGCTGCACTTTAACCTTACAATGCGCTGGAATAGGAAAGGTGAAAACAAAATAAAACAACAAAAAACCCAAGGCTAATGAACACTGAGAAACCAATGCCCAAGTATTGTGATTGTGAGGCCCAGGTGTTGTGGGAATAGCGGTAGGGTACCATTGTGGATAGAAAAAAAAAAAAAGAATATGATGTAAGCAGTATTCAGAGATCCATTGTTGACTGGCAAACATTTGTGGGGGAGGATGTCACTCACCCAGAGTTTTGGGAGTTATTGCCCAAGACAAGGTTTGCCGCTCATTTACACAGATGCAGTAGGATTCTTTCCCCTTTTCGTTTTGGGCTGCCAGGAAGGCTGGAGAGGCTTGCAGTTGCACACTGACCTATCACCCACAAGTGTGGCATAGAGATAAATATTATCAGAATATGGAGAGACACTGAGTCATGGAATTGGGGCCACATGTGAGGTGCTGCACTAAATTGGGATTTAGAAAAAGACTATGAATTTCACATGTGCTTTGAAAAGCATGAAAATGGCAATGACACACATCAAGACTGATTATTTATTAGGAGGAGCTGGCATTTAGATTATATATCTGACACATGCAGATATTGCCTCTGGGAGAAGTACCTATTGGTTCCTACCTGATGGTTCTTAACTCCTGTGTAGATTTTCTTCCTTCCTCCCTCTCTCCACTTCCTCTAACATATATTACATGTCTATTTTATATAAGACATAGAAAATTTTGAAGGAGAGGATCCTGACCTAGAGGATATTGTATTATAAGGGAGATAATCTGTACACAAAACTATGTCATAATTTTCAAAGATAGAAGTGCTATAAGAAAAGTTAAAAGTAAATATTGTGGGAGTTTAGAGATGAAGGCTTGAAGAACAACACCAATAAAATTAAGAAAACTAAATTTTGTGTCAGCATCAAGAATTTTCCCACCAAAGAGCCTGTCTTGTGTCAGGATTCAGCAAGATTCAGGAAAAAAAAAAAAAAAGATATGTGGGTTGGAGATCTGTGGTTTTAGTACCTGTAGCTCATATGTTATTGTGTTATCTTTCTGATCATGTCCCATCTTGCTTAGCACTATTTATTTGCAATGCTAGCACATAATTCCAAGAATTATCTGGTCTTGGGAACAAATCATGAGCTGAATGACCAAAGTTCTATCTACCCTTTCAATTCACCCTCATTTTTCTTACCCGGATGCAATTGGGAAGGTAGTTTAGGACAGTAGCCTTGAGTGTGAAGGCCTCTCCACGAATCACAGAGTAGGGCATTGTGAGTTCCACAAAGAAGGGCTGGAAGGCTCGGAGAGTGGTGGGAAGAGAGAAACCAAGTCCAGTGTCATTGGACAGGCAGAAGGCTCCTGCCTTCCACTCAGTGATGGTATCAGGGACTGTTACTCCTACTTCGGCCACGCCCGATGAGCTGGCGAAGATGGCAATAGGAAGAACAGAGAGTAAGCAGGTAAATGTCTTTTTTCAAGTGAGAATCAATATGTGTAAAGGGACTGTCAAGAGTGAAACCATTAAAGGGTTCATGCGGACACTAGATTATGTACTAGGGACTGAGGTGGGAAAACAAAAGGGACTAAATGGTGTCTCTTTCCCTTATCTGTCTATGGCCACATCACACATGCATATATTTTAAATAGAAATATTTGAATATGATTCAGTTTGGTCCGTAAGCTATCCTCACTATTGTCCAATTCCATAAAGCATATTTAAGATTCATGATCCAACAAATAAACTATCACTCTTATGCAGTCTGATTTCTTTATGTGCTTGATCCAATCTTGCTTATGCAAGACTCCTGGATGGCATTAGGCGGTATAGAATTTGAATATTCTATAGGCAGTCTTAGGAATAATTATTTTAGACTTGTTGCTCTGAGAGACAATTATACTAGTGAGCCCTTACAATAAAAGTGTTTTTCTTAGGTCTTGTATGAAAGGGTAGGAGGTTAAGACAATTATTTAGAACTTTTTCAGAAGGCTTATCTTCAAGTTGAAATGCTGGGCGGGTCACATTGCCTCACCCAGAGCAAAAAGAAGAGAGAGATGTTACTTACTCCACCATTGCCAGCTCCCAGATCCAGGTCTCAGGGAAATAACTCCGCACTGTTTCAGAGACTGGCTCTGGACTTGGCATATTATTTGCAGGTATTGCAGCAGCTGCACCAATTGGAGGACTATACAGCATCCCTACACCTCCCAAACCTAATAAAAGAAAATAATAATCTAGTTAAGGGAAAAGCATCCATTTATTTTATGGTTCATCTGTAAGGCTTAGGAGGACACATTTTCCATTTTACTGCTCTGATTGTCTCCTGAGAGTTGTAGAACTTTGGACATAACTTGTTGAGTCCACATTCTTTGAGCAGAGAGGAATGTTTTTTACAGGTAGAAACTCCATGTATGTGAATGGAGGCTGGAAGTACAAGATCACTTGCAGATGATTTTATGGCTTGTAGGGGAAATGATAGGTTTTCAAGGTCTGAGAGTACTGTTTCCTTCATAGAAAAACTGAGCAGAAAAGGTAAAACTCTCTTTAGATAACATGAGTGGTGGCTATATTGAAAATTGTTTGAATTACCACTAAAGTAATAGAATTTAAGAATATCAATTCTGTGTACTATATTGAAGCTTGTAAATTTATTGCTCTCTTGATAACAAGGCTAGATTTTTAGATTTTATTCTATTTATTTTATGGAAAGGAGAAATGAAGAATTCAAGATGACAAAAAGAGAGATATTTCCATTTGGAATAGCTCTATGATCAAGACAAAGAGTATTTACAAAAGGGAAAGGGTAGATAAGCTCTCACCTTAGAGCAGCGGCTCTCAACCTGTGGGGGTCAAACGACCCTTTCACAGGGGTCACCTAAGACCATCGGAAAACACATATATAATTACATATTGTTTTTTTGTGATTAATCACTATGCTTTAATTATGTTCAATTTGTAACAATGAAATTGGGGGTCACCACAACATGAGGAACTATATTAAAGGGTCGCGGCATTAGGAAGGTTGAGAACCACTGCCTTAGAGCCTTTGAAAGGCAAAATAGTGAAATAGTTAAAAAACATAGGTCTGCAGTCAGAGTACCTGATTCAATTCCCATTCTCCCATTTACTTACTTATTGGCTGAGCTACTTAACTTTTCTGGGTTCAGTTTTTCCATTTCAAAAATTATTATAACCACAAAAAAGAAATGGTACTATGTGAGGTGATGGAGTATTAGCTAATGCATCAATGGTAATCATTTCACAAAAACATATCAAATCAACACATTGTACACCTTAAACTTACACAATGTTATATGTCATTGATATCTCAATAAAGCCAGAAAAACAAAAAAGGAGAAAATGGTGATAAAAATACATTCTTACCTTAAAAGATTGCTGTAAGAATTAAGGAAATATATCTACTACCACCTATCTTTATTTATTCTATCTATCTATCATCTATCTATCTATCTATCTATCTATCTATCTATCTATCATCTATCTATCTATCTATCTATCTATCTATCTATCTACCTATCTATCATCTATCTACCATCTATTTTTATTTAATCTGTCTATCTATCTATCTATCTATCTATCATCATCATCTATCATCTATCTATCATCATCTATCTATCATCTAATCTATCTACTTTTCACTTCTGTCTTGAAACATAATAAGCACTCCATAGGTATTTTCATTTACTTGAGTTGCTTTTTATGAATGCAACACTCTTCTAAATAGCCATTTAATTGGTTCTCTTTCTTCAAATCTTTGCTAAAATTTTACTCTCCTGGTAAGACATTCACTGGTCACCCTATTTTCTATTTAATTTTCCCCTTAGAATTTGTCACCTTCTAATAAACTATTTAATATACTTGCTTATTTTTTCAATACTCCCTTTATGCCATTAAAATATAACCTTTATACAATTGAAGATTACTCTTAATATTTGTTATATGTCCACAAACTAGGTTAGTAAGTATTCAATCAAAATTTATTGACCACATGAATAATAACTTTCATATTTATAACTTAGTTCTTATGTTTCAAGCACTAATCATTTCTATCATTGTCCAACATGATTTTACGACCCTATTTGGATTAACCTTCCTCTCCCTCATTCTCTCTCTCTCTCTCTCTCTCTCTCTCTCTCTCTCTCTCTCCCTAGAAACAGTATTAAAGTTATTTTTTCCATATTTACTGTTCCCTGACATCAAACACTGAAGTTGCATGGTGACTTCCCAAACAGTCATGGGAATGGATTTATGTTCTTCAAATTATTTTCAAGAACTTTCAAAAAATATTCTAGTTTTCTTAGCACTTCCATTGCTGCACATACCTGAGTCATTTATATCTACTTATTTCAATCTTCTTTGTGTATTCATCACATTTTAGAAGTGTTTTGTTTGTTTGTTTTGTTTTGTTAATCCTCACCAGAGGATATTTTTTCCATTGATTTTTAGAGAAAGTGGAAGGGAGGGGAAAGACAGAGAGAAACATTGATTGGTTGCCTCCCCGCACATGCCCTTGACCAGGGCCAGGGATCAAACCTGCAACCGAGGTATGTGGCCTTGACTGGAAATGGAACCTGGAACCCTTCAGTCCACAGGCCGATGCTCTACCCACTGATCCAAATCAGCTACGGCTAGAAGTTATTTTTTTCTGTTACATCATATGCCTGAAATTCTTTTCTTAGGAACTTCCAGCATATTTCCTTCTGCCTCAGACTTTTATGGTTTAAGCTCAAACTTCTTTCTGTATAATTTTCATGTTTATTTTCTTTTTCCTTAATCTCCCTCATTTATAAAGCATCTTAGTTACCTGAAAAAATATTTCCCATTGCTAAGAAACTGTTTGGAATTGGTGCTATTTTTGAAGGTTATATTTGGAAAAAAACATGGTCCTTTAAAAGTGAGCTGACAGCATTGTTTTCTTTATGATAGGGCTGGTTTACAGATAGATATTAATATCACATGGTTAATTCGATAGGCTCAATGTCAAGGAACACAGAAAACAAATTTTAAACAGTCAATATTCTTAATTTGTTTTGGTACATAATACTTATTTTATTGGGATTTTGAAATGCCCTAGAGTGCCTTTAGTCACATTACTTCAATTTATATAATGAAGGATTTGAGGCTTAGAGGCTTAGAGAAAAGGCATTTCAGGTCCACTTCACTCACAGAACCTCAGATTTATAATCCCAAACTCAAAAGATGTTAATCTTTATTAACAGACTAGAGGCCAGGTGCACAAAAATTTGTGCACTCGGGAGGTCCCTCAGCCCGGCCTGTGCCCTCTCACAATCTGGGATCCCTCAGAGGATGACCACCTGCTGGCTTAGGCCTGCTCCCCGGGGAATTGGGCCTAAGATGGCAATCAGACATCCCTCTGGCAGCCCGGCAGCCCTCCGGGGATGTCCACTTGCCAGCGGGGAGCAGGCCTAAGCTTGCAGTCGGACATCCTTAGCGCTGCTGAGGAGGCAGGAGAGGCTCCCACCACCACTGCTGTACTGGCAGCCATCAGCCTGGCTTGTGGCTGAGCAGAGCTCCCCAATGTGGGAGTGCACTGACGACCAGAGGGCAGCTCCTGCATTGAGTGTCTGCCCCCTGGTGGTCAGTGTGTATCATAGTGACCAGTCATGCCCAGTCTTTCTGCTGTTAGGGTCAGTTTGCATATTACCCTTTTACTATATAGGATAGAGGGCTGGTGCACGGGTGGGGGCAGGCTGGTTTGCCCTGAAGGGTGTCCTGGATCAGGGTGGGGGTCCCCACTGGGGTGCCTGGCCAGCCTGGGTGAGGGGCTGATGGCTGTTTGCAGCTGGTTACACCCCCTTCAGGGTGGGGGTCCCCACTGGGGTGCCTGGCCAGTCTGGGTGAGGGGCTGAGGGCCGTTTTCAGGCTGGCAGGTGACTGAAGCTCCCAGCCTCTCCTGTTTTTCTTTTTCTTTTTATTCTGGGATTTATTTACCTTCTATAGCTGTCACTGGAGCTGAGAGCCGGCTCCAGCTCTTAGGCTGTGGCTGGCTGAAAGCAGGTATCTGGGGTTTATTTAGCTTCTATAATTGAAACATAGTTGCTTTTGGAGCTGTTGCTTCAGGAGCTCAGAGCCTGGCCATGGAAGGTGGGGAACCTTGGCTTCCTCCATCACTGGAGCAAGCAAGCCTCATGTTCGCTTCAGCTGCTTGGCTGCCGGCCGCCATCTTGGTTGGCAGTTAATTTGCATATAGCCCTGATTAGCCGATGTGAAGCATAGTGGAGGTACAGTTAATTACCCTATTTGTCTATTATTAGATAGGATAGACATCAAGGGGTATTTTGGAGAAAGGGATAGCCAGAATACCTTGAGAAAGAGATGAAAAAAGGTTGGATAATAGGCTGTACATGTACCTGGGATTGGACAGATGTTTTAAAGGGAAATTGAAGTTCCTAGAAAAGGGCTGCTTTATTTTTGATGTTTTATTTTGGCGTTTTCTGGCCTTGGATTATTAGATATTTCTGCAATGTTTACACTGTTGTTTTTTTCACCAGTGAGACCTTTCTCTTCCTTTCTAGTCTTTTATATATAGCATATTTATGAATGCCTTTTTTGATTCTATAATTAGAATCATTCTCCTTTTCCATTATAAATTTTGTTTTTCCTCTCTTATATACAGTAGAATCTTGAATTTCATATGATTCTGCACCCTAAAGCATCTGACTCAACGAACAACTCCAGTCAATTCAGGCCATGTCATTTACCAGCTAAATGATCTCAGCAAGAAGCATCTTATCAGAACCCTTGTTTCTCTATGTGTAAATAAAATAAGGCTACATTATGTATCTCATTTTACCTTTTTTATTTTTTACAAAGTAATATTGCTGGATGTGACAGGAAATTAAAAGCAACTTCTTTTTTTTTTTTTTTTTTTTTTTTTACCTCCATATGGTCCAGGCATTCCTGGTGGTGGTGCAGCAGCTAGTACATGTCTCATTGTACATGACCTCTGTTTTTGTATTTTAGAGTTGGTGAGTACCTTTAATCCCATACCCTGTAAAAACGATTAGACTGCATGAAATACTTTTTCCTTAGAATTAACTTATTAATTCCAATGCCCTTAACATTATATTAATTCCATGGACATATACACACTCAAGAAATATAGGATGGTAAAATTATAGTACTTTATGATTTTTTAGAATTGTGTAATTGGGCATCTTTTTCAAATATCTAAATATAACTAAAAATATCTCAATGAAATGTCAGGTTAAACAATTTATTCAATTATTGATATATATATAAAGTTTTATTTAAAGATATATATATATATATATATATATATATATATACATATATATACTAACATTCAAACTTTCATAAGCTAGTACCTTAGTAAGTAGTAAGGAATTTACCTTTAAGAAGCTATACATATCTTCTTCTTCATCATAATTAATATAGTAATTAACTGAGGGAATAGAGAAGCTTCCACCAATAGGAGGAGTAGAACGAGTATAACGACAGTTTGCTTGTTCTTCCTCCTCCTGGTCCAAATTTTGAGGGAAATAAGTGAGATCCTTTACAGGTAGCAGATTATATACCTGTAACAGTAGAGAAATTAAAGACAGAACTTGCTTGCTCTTGTTTTGAAATATACAGTAAACTGAGAAAAGTATGATAATTATCCCTTTCTTGAGTACCTTCATGCTATTGGTACCTTAGAGAGGTTAAAAATTTTGTGTATTTTGAATGGTGTATTTTTTTTTTAAAGAATTTTACTTTATTTTCCCCGTCACCATTTATCTCATCTGTTCCCTCTCCACCTCCTTAACAGTGTTTTTTGTTCTAAAAATGTAAAATCTACTTAGGAAAATAGTTCCATGGAATAATAGAATCTTAAGTTACCAAGGACTAATAAAAACTTCACTGTAAAGTTTAGAAATAAAACTAGACCAAATATGGGAAGGAGATCTAACTTGCTTCTGTGTTGGATGACTAATCAATGCTCTGAGAAATTTAGGTAAGAACTATTGTCATCTATAAACTTCTATTTCTATTGAGCTTTGTTCTTAGATAGAACCACACAGGTACATCAGTGACTACATATCATCTATAATCAATAGAACACTGTCTACACAATTGTAAACACAGGTCACTTTTAGGAACAAGAAGGATGACAGAGGAAAGAACCCAGAACCTACAGAATGGAACTAAGAGGCCTGGATATTTATTCCTGGTCTAGAGTAAGACCGAGTCATATCAAATAATTTGCAACATTTGCTTGGCTGGATCTCAGAATTGCTATGGACCAGTAACTCCTGTGTGCCTCCTGCTCCCCCTGCCCTTTTAAAAAAAACAGGTGTGCCCTTTCGCAGATGATTGATGACAGAGTCCTTTGAAAGAAGATGTGGTACATATATGCCATGGAATTCTACTCAGCCATAAAAAACATGAAAACATGAAATGTTGTGACAACATGGATAGATCTTGAGAGTATTATACTAAATGAAATAAATCAGGTGAAAAAGGACAAGAACTGTATGATTTCACTCATATCCTATATAATAAAAGCCTACTATGAAAATCGACTGAACAGTGGAAGGATCAGTGGAATGACCGGTCACTATGATGTGCACTGACCACCAGGGGGCAGACGCTCAACACAGGAGCTTCCCCCAGCCCGCAGGCCCTAGGCCAGCCAAGGCGGGTGCCAGTGGGGGCATCCAGATTGCCCCGCCAGTCACCGCATAGATTGGCTCTGATTGCTGGCCAGGCCTAGGGACCTACCTGTGCACGAATTTTGTACATCAGGCTCTAGTCTTAAGATATAAAAAAAATAGCAGCAAATGAGCAAACAAAACAAACATATAAACCAACAAAAAATCTAAAACTCATAGATACAGACAACAGAATTATGGTTATCAGAGGGGAAGGAGGGTGGGAGGAGAATGAATTGGGTAAAGGGATCAATCACAAGTTGACAAAAGGAGACTAGACTTTGGGTACTGAGCACAAAATAGAGTATACAGATGCCATAGTATAAAGTTGTACATCTGAAATTTATATAATGTTATTAGCTAATGTTACCCCAATAAATTTAATTTAAAAAATAGGAAAAGAAAAAGAAACCCTCAGGAGTGTCAATATGCCACTTTTCACCATTATATGCTGGGTGTGTGTGTGTGGGAGGGGGTAAATAACTTTGTACATTTTAGTTAAAGGTCGTTATAGCTAGAGAAACTGTACTTGAGGAACTATACCTAAGGGATATCATATGCACCTAAAACCAAGTTAAATGATGTGGTTCAGTTTTTAAGTTGTTACTATTTGGGAATGAGAATTTAAGGGAGAAAAGTGAGTGTATTTTGCATGCGGGAAGATCATGAATCACAGGGAGTCTGAGGGTAAACTGTGAAGAGAGCCTCCCAAATTACCCCCAATAATCTCTGCCTTCTAATATTCATGCTTTTGTGTGGTTCCTCCCATAATGGGTAGGGCTGACATCTACAACTAAGAAGATTTTGTGGAAATGATGGTGTATGAGTTCCAGGGCTAGGTCATAAAAGATATTGCAGCTTTAGCTTCTCTCTTTTGAGTCACTTGTTTGAAGGAAATCACCTGTCAAGTTATGAGGACAGTCAGGCAGTCCCGTGGAGAAGTCTGTGTGGTGAGGAACTAATGCTTCCTGACAACTGGAGGAGAAACACATCTTGACAGTCGATTTTCCAACCTCAACCAAGTCTTCAGATAACTAAAGCCCTTCCAACATGCTGACTGCAATCGCATGAGCTCCCAAGCTAGTGCCACTGAGTTAAGTCACTCTGGATTCCTAATCCACAGAAAGTGATAATAAATGTTTATTGTTTTAAGACACTAAGTTTGGGGGATAATTGTTATGCATTAGGAGATAACCAACACAATAATCTTTGTTCTTGAGTAGAAGAGCCAAGTAAGTACACAAATGAGCATATATTCTCTATATGAGCATGCACTCTCTACGTTATATGAGCTCAACCAATGTTTTCCAGGCCATTTTCAAAACAAGTGAGCTTAAAGATTTGTATAACTTCAAGAACCCAAACCTTCCATTTTGTTTATAATTCTTTCCTACTTCCATAACACTCAAGGCTTTGTTATGCAACTGGAACAATTGTTAAATTTATATGACTAACCTTAGCAGGTTTGACTTAGTGGACTGTGGACTGAAGGGTCCCCGGTTTGATTCTGGTCAAGGGCACATGCCCAGGTTGTGGGCTTGATCCCCAGTAGGGGATGTGCAGGAGGCAGCCAATTCATGATTCTCTCTCATCATTGATGTTTCTATCTCTCTCTCCCTCTCCCTTCCTCTCTGAAATCGATAAAAATATTTTTTTAAAATTATATGATTAAACAGAATAGGGTAGACATAAAATATTGAGGAGCAGATGAAATTCCTTCAATACAAACTGGAAAAAAAAGAGCTTAGAATAGACTACCATAAATAGGGAATGTAAAAAAACAAGACATGTCTCCAAAAAAAGTACCCAGAGAAAATTCTGTTGTTCAGGTTAACTCCTTAACGCCCTCTTCTAACTCAAATAGAGAAATATAGTCATTGTCTTCTGTGTAATAATTATTATGCTATGAGGAGATTTTAAAAATTATGTATGTATGTATGTATTTATTTATTTTGAGGAGATATTTTGACCTATTAATAAAATACAAAGGTTGAGAAGAATTTTGATTATACTTTCCATTCTGAAGAATGTTAATTTTGTTGATTAAAAACAGGATCATAATCCTTGACATAACCATCTCACAGTTTAAAAATTTTATACACACAATTGAAGTTTGAGAAGTAGAAACTAGAATAAAACCCAAAAGAAGCTGCAATATTACTGATTTATCTTCCAACATTAATACTTACCAATACTTCCCCAAACAGGCAAGTTAATTGATCCTTTTAAATATTGATGCCTGAGGCAATGAAAGCTATAAAATTTGCCATCAATAACTTTTTGACAATGATAAATCCAATCCTATCTAATAAAAGAGAAACATGCAAATTGACCATAACCCCGACACCCTTCCCATTGGCTAATCAGCAGAATATGCAAATTAATTGCCAACCAAGATGGCGGCCGGCAGCCAGGCAGCTGAAGTGAACAGGAGACTTGCTTGCTCCAGTGACGGAGGAAGCCAACGTTCCCCGCCTACCGCTGCCAGCCTCTGAGCTGCACTCTAAGCAACTATGTTGCAATTATAGAAGCTAAACAAGCTCCAGAGACCTGCTTTCAGCCAGCTTTGGCCTCAGAGCTTAGAGCTGCAGTGATGGCAACAGAGTTTCAATTATAGAAGCCAAACAGACCCAGAAACCTGCTTTCAGCCAGCTTCGGCCTCAGAGCTTAGAGCTGCTGTGATGGCTACAGAGTTTCAATTATAGAAGCCAAACAGACCCAGAAACCTGCTTTTAGCCCTCAGAGCTGGAGCCGGCTCTCAGCTCCATTGACAGCTATAGAAGGTAAATAAATCCCAGGATAAAACAAAAAGAAAAAAAGGAGAGGCTGGGAGCTTAAGTTGCCCTCCAGCTTGAAAACGGCTCTCAGGCCCTCACCCAGACTGGCCAGGCACCCCAGTGGGAACCCCCACCCTGAAGGGGTGTGACCGGCTGCAAACAGCTATCAGCCCGTCATCCAGGCTGGCCAGGCACCCAAGTGGGACCCCCCACCCTGATCTGGGACATTTTCAGGGCAAAGCAGCAGGCCCCCACCCATGCACCAGGCCTCTACCCTATACTACAGGCAGGGCGGGACAGCGCGAGCTGCCATCCGGGCCCCATGTGCAGCCCTGGGCAGCGGGGCATAAGCCCCACCCCCAGCTGGGACCCCTGTGTGCCACCTGAGCCTCCAGCCGGGACCGCCGTGCTGCCTAAGCCCCGCACTGCTAAGCCCTGCCCCCAGCTGGGACCCTATGACTATTGGAGAGCAGGAAAGTGCCGCTGGGTCCTGGGTCGCTGTGGTGATCCGGCCATCGGTAAGTAGAAAAGTGCGGCCTATAGGCAGCCCCCAGTTGGGCCTGATCCGGGAGCAGGAAAGCAAGCCTGGCCTGCGGGCAGCCCCAAACTTTCCCTGCTCCCCAGTTGCCATGGTCATCCGGGAGCAGGAAAGCAAGCCTGGCCTGTGGGCAGCCCCAAGCTGGGCCTGAAACGGGAGCAGGAAAGCCCGGCCTGTGGGCAGCCTCCAGCTGGGCCTGCTCCCTGGTCACCATGGGGATCCCGGAGCAGGAGAGCAAGCCCAACCTGCGGGCAGCTCCAAGCTGGGCCTGCTCCCCAGTCGCCATGGCGATTCGGGAGCAGGAAAGCCTGGTTTGCAAGCAGCACCCCCATCCTGGCCATAGCTGAAGGGAGAGTACAACATGCAGTGGAGGCCAGGAGCCTGAGAGATCAACACAGAGGGGCTCCTGCTCCAAGCCTCCAAGCTGGGCAGGCCCCCAGCAGACACACACACACACACACACACACACACACACACACACACAGGGGATGCCTGCTCCGAACCTCTGCTGCCAGACTGTGGCCATCAGTAGGACATCCACTGAGGGCTCCCAGACTGTGAGAAGGGCAGGCTGGGCTGAGGAAACCCCACCCCCCAGTGCACGAATTTTGTGCACGGGGCCTCTAGTCTACACTAATAAAAGACAAACATGCAAATTGACCATACCTTCACTATGCCTTAAGCCATGCCCACCAGCCAATCAGAGTGACTATATGCAAATTAACCCAACCAAGATGGCGGCCGGCAGCCACGGAGCTGGAGTGAGCAGGAGGCTTGCTTGCTCCAGTGATGGAAGAAGCCAAGCTTCCTGCCTGCTGCGGCCTGGCTCTGAGCTCCACTGAAAGCAACAAAGTTTCAATTATAGAAGCTAAATAAACCCCAGATACCTGCTTTCAGCTGGCCGTGGCCATGGAGCTGGGGCGAGCAGGAGTGGGCTGCCCCTGGTGATGGAGGAAGCCCAGCTTCCCTCCTGTCCATGGAGGCCCGGCTCTGAGCTCAACTCAAAGCAACAAAGTTTCAATTATAGAAGGTAAATAAATCCCAGAATAAAAAAAGAAAAAAAGAGAAGCTAGGAGCTTTCTTAGTTGGGGGTGGGGTGGGGAGGGAGCTTTCTTAGCCTTAAAATGGCCCTCAGCCCCTCACTCAGACTGGCTAGGCACCCCAGTGGGGACCCTCCACTCTAAAGCGGGTGTGGCCAGCCTGAAAACAGCCATCAGCCCCTCACCCAGGCTGGCCAAACCTCCATGAGAGGAGGGTCCCCACTGGGGGGGGGCTGTCCAGCCTGCAAACAGCCATCAGCCCCTCACCCAGGCTGACCAGGCAACCCAGTGGGAACCCCCACCCTGAAGGAGGTGTGACCAGCTGCAGACAGCCATTAGCCCCTCACCCAGGCTGACCAGGCAACCCAGTGGGACCCCCACCCTGATCTGGGATACCATTCAGGGCAAACCAGCTGGCCCCCACCCATGCACCAGGCCTCTATTCTATATAATAAAAGGGTAATATGCAAACTGACCCTAACAGCAGAACAACTGGGAATGACTGGTCGCTCAATGCAGGAGCTGCCTCCTGGTGGTCAGTGAACTCCTACAGGGGGAGCTCTGCTCAGCCATAAGCCAGGCTGACGGCTGACAGTACAGCGGTGGTGGTGGGAGCCTCTCCCGCCTCCTCAGCAGCACTAAGTATGTCTGACTACAGCATAGGCCTACTTCCTGCTGGCAAGTGGACATCCCCCGCGGGCTGCCGGGCTGCCAGAGGGATGTCTGACTGCCAGCTTGGGCCTGATCCCCCAGGGACCGGGCCTAAGCCAGCAGGTGGACATCCTCAGAGGGGTCCCAGATTGCAAGAGGGCACAGGCCAGGCTGAGGGACCTCCCATCCCTGAGTGCACAAATTTTTGTGCACCGGGCCTCTAGTAACATATAATTTAATTGACTTATACTGAAAAATTCAAAATATGAGTAATTTAGTTCTACATATAGGTTAGAAAAGTAGCCTCTGAATTTTCCCTTTTTGCTGATTGATTTCTCTTAGAAAACCCTGTTTGAAAATATTTTTTCCTATTACCAATTATTAACCAGTATTTCACCTTTTATTTTTCTGAGCCATGTAAACCTTTTATTATAGTCTTTCTCAAGTCACTGCTCTATAAGGACAAGGATTGTGATATGTTTACTGGTATTTCCCTAGCTCCTACAACAGACCCAGTACACTGTGTGCTGCTGCTGCTGACGATAACAGCAATAAATCAGCATGACACTCCAAATATTACCACCATGAATTATATAATTCTAGAAAAAAGGAGAGACTTAAAATTTTAGTCTGTGAATCATCATTCCTGACAATGGTGTGATAGGTCATGTTCTTTTTTAATTGAAAATAATTTGTGAATCATTTATTACCACTTTTACAGATCCCAAGTACTCTAGAGACATACACTGTTAGGTCCATTGAAAGTTTTGTGACGTGCTTGTATTAATTTTATAAAATTAATTACTCCAGTGACCAAAAATGATTTAATTTGTTTTATTTTTGGCCAACAATGATTTTACTTAAGCAATTTATTAATTTATTTTCTTTTTTTGGCATGACCTATATAAGTATTAAATCTTAACAAAAGTTAGCTTTCATTAAGATTATTGTAAATCATGAGTTAACAGGTTTAGGTTTGATTCTTTATAGGAATGGAAGTTATGTCAAGGAGGAGATTGAAGTTTGCGGGCAGTTTCAGAATGACATCTCAGCCATGTCACTTCTGGGTAAGCTGGCACAAGTCTCAACTGTTACAAACCTCAGTGCTTTTTAAAAAAACATTCTTTTTTAAAAGTATATATTTTTATTGATTTCAGAGAGGAAGGGGGAAGGAGAGAAATAGAAACATCAATGAGAGAGAATCATTGATTGGCAGCTTCTTGCAGGCCTCCTACTGGGGCCTGAGCCTGCAACCTGGGCATGTGCCCTTGACAGGAATCAAACCCGGGATCCTTCAGTCTGCAGGCCCATGCTCTATCTACTGAGCCATACCGGCAAGGGCTACAAACCTTAGTTTTTACATCATAAAATAGGGCTGTTGCTTACTCTCTGGGATGCTGGAAATGAGAAAAATGTGTGGGAGAGCTTGAGATACTATATAATATTAGACAAATGGTAAATATTTTTATTATATTCTTGCATTTTGCTCTCAACAGGGCCTTCTCTTTGCTCTGAGCACCTCATGCAGCCCTTTCTAACCCCTGAGGCTGAGGGAACTCACCGAGGACGGGGAGAGCTCTGCCTCAGACCTCAGGAGGTGCACGCTTTGGTCCACTGCGCGGAGGGCACAGAGCGACTGAGGAGAAGCTGTGACTCGCAGGTGGGCCTGCGAGGCTGGAAGACTTACTGCTGGGTTGAAGCTCAAATCCACCTGCGAGACATGAAGGAACAGTCATCCTGCACTTCTGCTTGTGTCATCCTGCAGTGACCACATTTCTGGGTCATCCTGACATTTAGCTTTAATGACTACGCTGGGAAGCATCAGACAGGAAGGAACCTCTTTTATCATCTTGCCTTTGCTGTTTGAAAGGCTGTGTTGCCCTAAGGAGGCAACGCAGGGTCATAAGGGATAGATGCCTTGCTTAATTTTACTAGTAGAGGCGCATCATTACCTCTGATTCATAATACAGTTTTCTATTTGTTCTTCAAGTTTTTGAAACGTTTGAGGCACAGCGTCTTACATACCTCACACAATTGGATCAGTGGAATTGGGCACCATGGATACAAAGTTAGGGTACGTTTTATGTGGAAGCAATTTTGTGGACTTGGAAAATTATTGTGCTAGCTGCCTGGAAACTTTTGGACAACTCCTTTTACTTTTCTGGGTTCATTTTTTCCCCTCCCTGAGGTTAAATAGGCAGTACCTATGATACCATTTCTGTTCTTGTGATTTTTTTGCTAAAGACACTCACCTTGTTGGCTAGACAGTTTTCAATCTCAAAACTCTGTGAATCTCCAATAACTTCTCCATTTGGGAAAATGGTAAAGATGAACAATCGTGCAATGGGAGCAATGTCTGACTTCACAGGGAAGTCTAAGGAAAAGCTGCCTTTCACTGGGCATGAGGAGAATGAGACAAAATGGTCATAGGTCAGGACGCTGTTACTAGGTCTTATCCAACTTAGAACTGTGCCTATGCATTCAATGGCTTAACCTCTTTAATGCCATTCTAGTGAAGGGGTAAAAATTAATAGGCTAATGTCTCCTTTCACCACTTCCATTGTAGAATAAGTTCAAGTTCCTTACATTCACGCTTATCTTTACCTGATTTTATACCTTATTTATGCCTAAAAAAACTTAAATCTGCTCAAAAGTATTCTGCTGATATATATACACATTTAATTAAAGCCTGATGGACTCATTTAAAAATTAAGAATAAGAAATTTATTTCGTGATGAATAGCAACCATTTCTTTTAGATTTCAGACAAGTGATGATTTTCCATTTAAAGACAGAGCTGTAATTTGTAAGATATAATCATAGAGTTTAAAATTTTTTCAAATATATGCCTTTTTTGTTGTTGTGACGAGAAGACAACAAAATTTAATCATTTTTAAAGAATGCGTTAGTGGTGCTAAGTACATTCACATTGCTATGAAACAGATCTCCAGATCTTTTCCATCTTGCAAATTGAAACTCTATCCCTATTTAACAACTGCTCTATTTCCCCTTTCCCCAACTTCTTGGGGACCAGAAAGGCAGTACTATGGCATTCATGTTTTTGTACCATTGGAGAGATCAAGTTTCAGCTTATAATTCTAAAAAGAGTAAGTTCCCCTCTAAAAAGAGGGAAATTTCAACCCTTGTATTTGCTATCTTGAGCTAACCATACAAGGTAAGAATAGATTGAAATATTATAAACATGGAACGAGAAGTTATGGTACATAACTTTCTCTTTTTTTTTTTTGGCAGAGAAAGTTTTGGAGGGAAAAATAACCTCTTAGTAATGTTTTGGCAGAGGAAACTTTGGAAGAATAACCTTTTTGTAATGTTTTGGCAGAGAAAGAAAGCTTTGGAAGGAAAGTAACCTTTTAGTAATGAAAATTGTGAAGGCTTCATTATTAAAAACCTGAATTCTGAATTTCAAACAGATTTTGAAATAGTTCTGAAATTAATAATTTGTATCCTGATATTAAAACACTATGCAAAATAGCATATAAAAAAGAATTATATAAGTAAGCTAAACTTAAGTAATTCAAAAGCTTGAAAACTCGTGAAATAAGTTTTTTTTTCTTCTTCTTAATCTAACACAGTAAAGAGTTCTCAGTAGCTCTTTAGTGGAGAACAAATTGGCAATTAATAGTGTAATTATGATGTGTGATTAAAACAGTTTTATTCTAAATAATTGTGATTTAACTACTTATATAGAGAAATACTTTCAATTATTGCTTCAGTTAGTTTCAATACATTTTTTGTGATGTGTTCATTAAGTAAATAATTAATGGAGTTTTCTTTATATTACTAGTCAGAGATTATTTCTTTTATGAATTATGCACAAATTAAAATATCAGAAAAAAATAGATAAATAGTGTTTTTAGACACACCTCTTTCTGTAAGTGTGTTACATGCTTCATTGTTAAAAGAAAGTAGAAAAACAGGCAACAAGATGGAGTGAAGGGGAACCTTGCAAGCAAGAGGGTCCAGATCGCTGTATCGATCTCTACATAAATATTGTGGAAAATGATATTCAAAACTGCAGCATTCTTTAATGTTTATTTCAAACAATTATTGAAAGTGCTGATTAATAGCTTATTTTAAATTAAACCTTCTTGAATGTTGTTTTGATATTAAAAACAGCCTGGTAAGGAAAGAAACCATAAAAGTAAAGAAAAATCATAGACTTGGAACAAATCCTAAGCATTGTTAAGTTTAGCACTGGGGTTGTGTGGAGTTTGGTGAAATACTTGCCTTTGTTTAGATTAATTACAGGAATGTTCATGGGTTCTTGTTTCAGTGATTTAAACCTTGATATAGATTTAATTAGAATAGAAAATAATACTGGTTTCCTTTCTCCTAACTTATTCATGAAGTACACTCAAGTTAATGGGTGAAGTACTCAATTTCATGCCCGCAGCACAATATGCATCCTCATAAAGAGCCTAGCTCAGAGACTGCACAAAAAATAACGTCCCCCTCCATGATACTTGACTCTCTTCTTCTTTGCAATTCTAAGATTAAAGATGGTCAATGTACATTTGTTGTTAGGGTTAAAAATAGAAGAAAGCGCCCTAACTGGTTTGGCTCAGTGGATAGAGCGTTGGCCTGCGGACTGAAGGGTCCCAGGTTCGATTCCAGTCAAGGGCATGTACCTTGGTCCGCAGGCCGAGGCTCTATCCACTGAGCCAAACCCACTAGGGCTTTTGTTCCCTTTCTTAGTGTAAAGGGATAATGGAAATGATTTCCCCATTTGTGAACTGTCACTGAGTAAGGGTGGATGTGTTGGCAAGGAAACGGGGAGACTGATTGGAAGATACTCACTGTCTCCTGGCTCTACAGGCAGAGCATGTGTTCCTGATCTGACGATGCCTCCCTTAGCCATGATCTGAAATGAAAAATCAGCAGAGAAAAGAACTTTGCTGACACTGTTTTCAACACCTAATTCTCCACATAACCTATTTTTTTTTTTTAAATTAGTTTCAGAGAGGAAGGGCGAGGGAGAGAGAGATAGAAACATCAATGATGAGAAAGAATCATTAATCAGCTGCCTCCTGCATGTCCCCCTCTGGGGATTGAGCTTGCAACCCTGGCATGTGCTGTGACCAGGAATTGAACCATGACCTCCTGGTTCATAGGTTGATGCTCAACCACTGAGCCACACTGGCTGGGCCACATAACTGACTTTTGATTGTTGAGTCTGCTAGAGAGAATCAACCTCATGAAAATCAAGAATCAAGGGAACCTGGATGAGAAAGCAAGATAGTAGTGCACAAATACTTTTTACATTCCTGGCCCCATTCACCACTCTGTCTACTGATAAACTCCAAATATATCTGTGGCTTTACTCTTACCAGGTAATAGAAAACGAACTCCTTCAGTTCCCCAGGGGCTGGCACCTTGAGTATATAGTGTGCCCTGATAGTCTGTGTTTGGTCACAGGGCAGGGTACCAACCACAGGCTCCAAGTCAATGAAACTTCCACTTAAGGAGAAAACATGTCTTGCAGTGTGCTGAGCAGCCCGGTGTTCTTCTTGCAGAAACGCAATCCTGTAACACATGTCACCTTTCTCATGGTAGGCCTGATAAAACAGAAGAACAAAGAATCAATATTGTCTTGAAGGTCTTCACTTTAGCTTCCCACCAAAATGAAGTTTCAATTTTGTGTTTTCTACTCTAAAATATATTTTGCATTTCTCTTGTTCTTGCTGACTGCCAACTAAACATATTGTCAATCTCTTAATTTGCACAGATTAAAAGAAAATAATCTACATATTTATCTCCTTTGTCCTGATTCTGCCAACTTATTACTCATTTGACTCTTGTGCAGCTCAGAGCCAGGGGAACAATAATGGTCCAGTTAAAAAGCTAAAAATCTTTAATAGGAGTCTCTTTTAAGTTGGTTTAACTAAAATCACATTATATATATTAACAAAATCTCCTATTACACAGGAGTCTCAAAATAAATAATCCTCAGAAAATTAGCATCTATGCCTCTTGTGATTATTGAGAGAGAGGGTGAGAGAGATCATTTGTTCCACTTTTTTTATGCATTCATTGATTGATTCTTGTATGTGCCCTGACTAGAGATTGAACCCACAACCTTGGTGTATCAGAATGATGCTCTAACCAACAGAGCTACCCAACCAGGGCTTTATAGATTTTTTTTTATCCTCTTTATTAAGCAATATATAAATATGTGTGAGTGTGTGTATGTGGGGGGTTCTGATCATTTTAAAAATATCTAAGTAGACATGGAAAAACAAATTACATGAATCCCCCATTGAAGAACTGATATTGTTGAGGAAAAAAATCCAGTGAGATATTTAGATAATACATAAATTTTAAGAACAATTTTAAAATTTTTATTTTATTGTTGACAGTATTATAGATGTCTCCCATCCCTCCCTTCTCTTACCCCTTCCTTAAAAATAATTCTCAGGGACTTCTACAATATCTTTTCTAATGTCTTTATTATTTCCAATGACATTTTTATATACCCAAGTTTATTCCCAAATTGCACAGCTTCTTATTTCTCTCTCTTAAATACAGCCTGTGTCCTTCTTCACTTCTGAATAAATGACTGTTTTACCAAGGTTCTCTTTGTTCTCAGGTTTCTTTTCTTTCATACTTACTGTAATAAAAAGGTGGTTAGTCAACATATTGGTAGTATCGATTGAAAACTGTGCAAGACCCTGCTCATTGGTAGTTGCATTGAAAAGATAATTGGCTTCAAGTGCGGAGATGAAAACGAGTTTATTGGGAATGGGCACATTTTTCCCATCTACCAGGAGCACCTACAGAAGAAAAGTAATTGTTAAGTTATGTGGAGAATACTGAGAGAAGGTAGAACTCATGGGAACAGACTGCTTTGCTCCCATGACTTAAAAACAAAAACCAAAGAATAAGAAACAACTCTTTCATATTGATTACAAAACTGTTTCTTTGCATTTGGATCCTCATCTTAATTTTCATTTTCTGAAACAAATCTGCACAAGAATGTGTGGGGTTTTTTTTTTTTTTTTAGAAAAATTCAGTAAGTATAAAACTGCTAAAATTAATTGTAAATATGAATAAAATCAATATTATTTATTTATTGTATTATCTTAAAGTATGTACCCGAAATATGAAAATCATACAATAATAAGTCATAAACTGCACACTATTATAATTCCAATATTTAAAAATAAAATAAGTTATTCACTTATTTTAAACAGAACAAGAAATTGACAGCCATAAATTGAGAGTCATTTGTGAGAAACTGTCTTAAAATTCTGATGCTGGCTGGATAATGGCAGAAATATATTTATTTATTGTAAAATGGGTGGGCTAAGGGGCTTGATGTAATAACTAACTTATATTACATTAAACATCTTTATTAGTCACATATTCAAAAAAGAAACAGTACTCTGATTCTCTTAATACTGTAGTGTATGTTCATGTATTTTATCAGTGATATTACAAAGGAAACTATCTACTTTGGTTTTGTTCAATGACTTGGGTCATATTAATTATTTGCTAATACTAACTAGGTTTGGATTACATCAGTGTGTCCTTGACCTAGGAACAACTGGACACTTCATTTACCTCTAAATTGCAATACACTCTACCTGACCAAAGAAGGGTATTCCTCTTCGAAAGTGTGAATCCACTTTCACAAACTCGACTCTGGTTACAACGTTTGTGATTTTACTGGTCCCACTTCCAGTGAACTCTAGGTCTGAAAAATATAGGTAGGAAAGAGTAAGTATTCTTAGAAGTTACTTTGGCTCTAAAATTTATTTCCACCCTAGCTGGTTTGGCTCAGTGGATAGAGCGTCGGCCTGTGAACTGAAAGGTCCCAGGTTCAATTCCAGTCAAGGGCACGTGCCCAGGTTGTGGATTCGATCCCTAGTAGGGGGCGTGCAAGAGGTAGCCGATCAATGATTCTCTTTCATCGTTGATGTTTCTATCTCTCTCTCCCTCTCTGAAATCAATAAAAATATATTTAAAAAATTATTTTCCTACATTTGTTATGACTTTTATTTTGTTACGGGAAACAAATCAATATTTATTGCTTTACCTCCCAAATTAAGTTAATTCTCAAACCTGTTCCCTCTTCTCTAATCGTGGCTTCCACTGTAAGTTCCATTTCATAACCCGCATTCTTAAGTTGGAACGAGTTTGTGTTTACTTGTTGGGTGATGCAGCCATTGCTGTTGAGCTGCAAATACAAAAATTGATAAATGTCACACAGATTCAGACCAATAGTCACTAAATCTACTATTTCCTTTCTGGTATCAAGAATTTTTGGGGTTAAACATATTAATCAACCTTTAGGAATTTAATATTCATATTTGATTTACAATCTCTATGATTGGTCCTCAAAATGAGAATTTTGTTGACTGTTAATAGGGATTTCATCTTTGGTGGTGAATATTTTAAGATCAGCTTATTCTGATGCCCGTTAGTAAAATGGGGTAGCTCAATGGTTGTCAACAATAGTACACAGAGAGAACACTGCATACTAACCTGGTGACTGAATTCCTCACAGAACTCTTTCTTTGGACAATAAAAAGAATGAAATAATTTTCGGCACATGCGCACGGTTGCACGTCCTGGCACAGGTTTCCCATAGGTGTATCTGTCACATAAGAAATAAATCAGGAACTGAAGGTATCTACATTTTCACTAACAGCCCAGCACAGAGTAATTATTTTCTAATAACAACTTTATTATTTTAGACTCATATCAAGTAGGAACATGTCTGGAAAATGTCTCTATAAAGATATTACCCAGTAAGGCATTTGAAACTTTACTTCAATGCACATCCAAATTGCCTTGGGATAATTTTATGTTTTCATTTTTATTATTCTTTTTATTTTGTCATAAAATCAAATCTTGCTCTTTATAACAAATTTAAAAAATCTGTGATGAATAGAATAAGTAATAAGCAAACATAGCACACACAGAGATAGATAGATGATAGATAGATAGATAGATAGATAAGAGAGACAGAAAGCCTAAAAAAACCAAGCATGGGCCATATAAAGTTTTTTATGTGTGCACTCTATACTTAATTATTTCTCTATATTTTAAATACAAATGGAATAATTGATGTTTTTTTGGGGGGGGTCACCAGTTTAGCTTTTCCATTTGCAAATGCCTGCAATATAACTTCAAGTAAAAAATATAATCAGAGCAACCTCTATGAAAAACTGTATGAAAATTCCTCAAAAAATTAGAAATGGAGAGAGATTATTTCAGTGTTTAAAAATTTGTTCCTTTACTGCACCAAGAGGACCTATGCAAAGCACTCAAAATATTCTCTTAAAACTGGCCAAAGGAGAGAGTAAATTAATTACCATGTAATTAATTTACCAATCAATGTACCATGAAGGACCAATAAGGCAAATGCAACAAGTGGGACATTTATAGGCCAATTGACCTATTGTTTTCCATAAGCTAACACCATGGGACAAAAGGAGGGTCTAGATTTTTAAAACTTTGAGCTATTTATAGATTTCCCATGGCTTATTTAAAAATATTAGGAAAAAAACTGTAGGGGGAGGAATCAATGAAACAAAATTGGCAATATTTTATAGTGTTTATAATAGGTGACAGTCACAAGTGGTTATATTTTACTATTCTGATAACTTTTATATTCAATCAAAAATTTTCATGGTAGAGAGTTGGTAAAAAAAAAGAAAGTACACATGAGTCATAATAACTAAAAGCAATGTATAAAGACATTTTTAGGAAAATCTGAGAATTTTTAGGAAAATCAAAGATACTTGAGTGTAAACTCAAAATTAGTATTGAATAATCACTTTTTATTTTATTAAGTGTGACAATGTCATCATTATTGCATAGAAAAATGTCACTAATTTTTAAAGGTCTATATTGTTGTAGCTGCGTGAAAATGTCATGATTTTTGTAATTTATCCTGAAATGTTAAAGAAAAAAAAAATCAGCAAACATGTTTATTATTTATTAAATCATGATTGTGTCTACATTCCTTGGTGCATTTGAGAAATTTCTACACTCTTTGGTGCATTTGAAATATTTAATAATATAAATAAAGAGAGGTCACTGAGATAAACTTTTAAAAGTGCCAAGTAAAATTAATTTATAATTGTGTACTAGCTAAGTAATCACTCAAAATTGAGGCAAAATATGAAATTTTAGACAAAAACAATTTAACTCACATTCCACATACTGATATGTCCATTTTTTCATCCAGGATACTGATTATCTTTGGGACTTGAACTTTGACCTCAAACTTGGGAACCACTGTTGATAGAGATAAATAGAAAGAGGGGAGTTGGTAAATAATTAATGGAAATACAAATATTTTCATGCCTATAATTTTTTCCACAAAAATAACCTGAAAAGTTACGTTCATTTTTCCATCTATCAACTTCAAGATGATTAGGTTTAATAATTCATGCAAAAATCTGACTTTGTGACCACAACAGATCTCAGTGATGTTAACAAATGATGATGTTCCACTGAATTAAACATTTTGATACCTGATAAAGTATAACTTTCTACTATAAATCACCAAACTCTTATAAACTTTTGTGTTCACAGAATAATGATATAGCTAGAAAAAGATATAGCTGACTCTACTCCAAGTTTAACATACCTGTGGGAAAATAAAAAAAATCTAAGTGAATTCACACTATGAACTAAACAGTTATGATCCTTTCATTTTTCATAATCCATACCAAATTCCTCCACGGTGAAGGGGTGCTGTATATTTCCGCCTGATTCCTTCTCTACCACCACCTTGTAGGAGCCCTGAATCAGCTCTGATGAGAGGGGAAAGGCTAACTGTTTGAGGCCACTTTCTAACTTGAGATTCTGCCATTGTCCAATTCGATTCCTTTTGGGGTTCTAGAGGTAAGAAAGGAGCATGGGAATAATTATTTAGTCATGATAGCCCTGACAAAACACATGACTTTCAGGGTAGTAATTGGCATTGCCTTCAGGAAAGACAAACACAGAAGAAAGGTGAACCACGATAAACCTGACGTCCGAGAATAGGAAAATTTAGATCTGAAAGGTTTTTTTTGTTTTTGTTTTTGTTTTTTTTTAACAACAGTTCATCTGTCTGGAATAGTATCAGAATTTCCTCTTCCTTAAATGCACTGACTTCCTTATAAGATATTATTTCTGATGCTTACCTCAAGGTATACCAGTGGAATCTATATGAAAAAATGAAAGAAGAGATGTGATTAGAATTTCACCAAGGCTATGATTTCAGATTTATGATTAAACAGCTTACTAAGGAAAAAGAATGTTTGTAGTAAGATATATCAAAATTTAACTAGAAACATAAAAGAAGTGGAATTTCTTAGAAAAATCAGTAAATAGTTCTAAGAAAAGCATAACATATTTTTACAAAAAATCATGTTGTCATTTCTTTGAAAAATATTATTGTTGAATGATACTTATTAATATTTATTAAGTTACTAGAGGCCTGGTGCACAAAATTTGTGCACTGGGGGGTGGGGGGGTGAACCTCAGCCCAGCCTGCACCCTCTCCAATCTGGGACATCCCTCTCACAATCCAGGACTGCTGGCTCCCAACCGCTTGCCTGCCTGCCTACTTGATTGCCCCTAACCACTTCTGCCTGCCACCCTGATCACCCAATAACCGTTCCCCTGCTAGCCTGATTTAACCTATCTGTTCCCCTGCTGGCCTGATTACCCCCAACTGCCCTCCCCTGTAGGCCTAGTTGCCCCCAACTACCCTCCCCTGCAGGGCCTGGCCTCCCCAACTGCCCTCCTCTGCCAGCACAGTCACCCCCAACTGCCCTCCCCTGATGGCCCGGTCCCCCCAACTGCCCTCACCTGCCGGCCTGGCCCCCACAATGGCCCTACCCTGTAGGCCTTGTCACCCACAACTGCCCTCCCCTGCAGGCCTGGTTGCCCACAACTGCCCTCCTCTGACGGCCCGGTCACCCCAAATTGTCCTCCCCTGCTGGCCCAGTCACCCCTAACTGCCCTCTCTTGCAGGTCTGGTCCCCCCTAAACCACCCTCCCCTGCAGGTCTGGTTGCCCCCAACTGCCCTCCCTTGCAGACCTGGTCCCCCCCTATTGCCCTTCCCTGCCGGCCATCTTGTGGCCACATGGGGGTGGCCATCTTGTGTGTTTGAGTGATGGTCAATTTGCATACTGGCCATGACTAATTAGCATATCTGGGTTAATTAGCATACCCAGATATGCTAATTAATATTATTCACCAATATTATTTAGGCACTAAAATCCTCCTAGTGAAGACTATGACTATATTATTTACTTACATAAATTAAAAATTGATGTTAATAAAGTTACATGTCATTATGATTTAGACTTAACAGGAAGAAAATTCCCAGAATTATTTGGTTAAAATAAACCAAGAATACTTCTTTTAATTTCAAGATTGTCTAATATCTACCTTTTAAAAATAGCCTTGTTTCTTTGCCTTCATATTGAAAGCTACTTGAAGGAAGGGACACACAATGAACAGAAATGAAGACTTTATATATAATGAATAGTATATGATGTATGTATAAAAATTATAAAATATGTTATCATATATACTAAAATTATATATTTCACTAGTGACCCAGTGCACAGATTTATGCACATGAAAGAAAATTAATTAGAAGGTGGCCAGTGGGGCGGGACTGGGCAAGACAGGCTGGACATGGCCTGGAGCCAATCTCCCACGGTCCCTCAACAGCTGGCCACAACTGGGGTAGTGTCATGGCTTGAAAGGTGTCTGTGGAGTGAGCAGGGTCCCTCTGGTAGGTGGGGTCCCCCGGCCTGGCCTGTGGGAATTGGGCCGAAACCTTGAGGGGTCCCAGAGTACAAGAGGGCACTCTGCAAAGTTGCTGTCATAAAGGGTGTGGAATGCAAATGCAAGTGTAAAGTAAACCAGATTCGAGCTGACAGAGCCCCAGCAACAACATGACCCATGGCCGAAGGTGGAATCGGGCTCCCTCCTCTCTGGTTTTGAGGTGCATCACCCAAGAACCGCCCCTGCCAAGTCACTGTAGCTCAGCAGCTCCTATGTTGAGCGCCTGCCCCCTGGTGGTCAGTGCATGTCATAGCAACTGGTTGGATGGAGGGAAGGACACTTAACATTTTAGCCTTTTATATATATATATAAATAATATATACATATATTCAGAAGAAGTGAAACTCTTTGGTGCTTTAATTAATTATGAATTCTTTCAGAGTATGGGTATGGGTAATACATAACTTTTTATTGTACCTGTTTATTATACTTAACATAGTGTTTTGAGAACAATGAATGTAGCTGACTATTTCCAGACTGGTTTATTACTGTTGTAGGAGAAACAGCTTTCTCATCTCTTACTCCTCAATTATGCCTTGTATAAGACTCTAGATTTGTAGTAAAGCTGGAATCTAGGTTCCAAAAGGAATAGCTTTCACTTCACTTTTCCTGGACCTTCCCATCCCACCTTGGGTGAGTGCTCTCATCCCAGCAACCACCACCCACCCAAACTAGAGATATTGAGATACTTACCCGTTCATTTAGGGGGTGAAAATTTTCATCCACAGAGACAATGCGGAATTTTACTGAAAAAGAAATTTTCTGGTAAGTCTCAGACACGATAAAGCCAGTAATTTAGGTAATAACACAGAAGACTAAGAGATCAAGGTAATGGTGACTTTGTCAGGAAACCTGCTGAGGAGGTGGAATTTCCCTACATACCTGTCTGTCCTGGTTTATAGATGGGTTTGTCTGTCTGGACAAAGACGAGACTTTGATCATTCTTTACCAGCACTCTGCTCCTCTTCCTGAAGTCTTGTGTTTGTCCCTTTATGTGGACAGTGAAGAAAGCCACCTCTGAAGAGGGTGAGATTCTTGGGAGCTAAAGAACAAAGATACCACTGAGGAACAGCACAGTCTTCTCCCTTTGACTCCTTCAACCATTACTATTTTCTGTCTCTCATTCAGCTTCAGAAAGGGTGCAGTAAGTATGAATATTTCTCCAGGTATAAGACTGAAGATATTAATATAAGATATAGGGGAACTATATTAGTAAGAACAGCCATCAGTGGGACCCAAGTTCCCAGATAGCTCATCTGGAACTCTATTTGTTAAATTACTCTTTTTAACAGAGTATATGTTTTCTGAAGGAATGGAGAGAAGCATCTCTGAAAAAGTATGGGAGACGATAGGAGCTAAGTATTCCAAGTTGAGCATCCTCACAGAGGTACTGGGTATTTTCTTGGAGTACTTTGAACCATTTACATATTCCAAGGACAAAGACAAGTAATATCCCACTGTGAGAGAAAACTTCTGCTGCATGCTGTCCTTTTGTGAGGTATTTGTACAATCTGTTTCTAGGCATTGTCCAACTCTGGCCTGAAAGAGATGGTTATATAACAAAGCTAGAAAGAACCTATAAATCATACAATTTCTGTGGCTAAAACATTTATTTTTTACTAGAGGCCCAATGCACGAAATTTGTGCATGGTGGGGGGGGGGGGGTTGTCCCTGAGCCTGGCCTGCACCCTCTCCAATCTGGGATCCCTCTCGCAATCCAGGACCACTGGCTTCTAATCACCCACCTGCCTGCCTGCCTAATGCCCCAAACTATCCTCCCCTGCCGGCCTGGTCACCCCCAACTGCCCTCCCCTGGTTGCCCCAATGGCCCTCTCCTGCTGGCCTGGTCACCCATAACCCCCTGCCAGCCTAATCTTGCCCCTAACTATCTCTGCCTCAGCCCCTACCACCATGGCTTTGTCTGGAAGGAAGTTGGACGTCTGAAAGATGGCTAGTTGACCTGGTCTACTTAGCATATTACCTTTTTATTAGTATAGATGTTTTAGGAAGTACATTGAACTTTGGCAAGTAGAAAAATATTTCCCCCTTACCCTGGTGAAAAAATTCATGCTTTGTTCCTCAATAGCTAAAAATTCATCACCTTGGTTCTTTCTGAAATCCTCACTAACATTTGAAAGTCATTCTTTGGGATTGAACACTAGTTTTCCATTACCATGGAGATATAATGTATCAAATAGGGACGGGCAGCTAGTACTCACCGTGAAGGAGACACAGCGGAATAAGTCCTTCTCTGCCACCAGGTCAGTGAAGAGTCTCCTGTTCTCCCTGGGAGACTCCAGAGAAGCACTTACAGTCACTGTCTCATTCAGGTGGCTTAGAAGGAGGCAGCCTTTCTCAGGGGTCCCAGTGTGGAGCAGAGAGGGGACGAGCACCATATACTGTCTGGGAAGGGAAGAAGGCTAAATCAGAGAAAAACCAGAGGATAGCAAGTATTTTCAACCATCATTGTGTTTTCCATAACAATATGTACTTATTGCTACAATCAGTTCTATACTGTCTCCTCCATCTTATTTGCATAAGAATGATACCTTTTACTCATTAGTAGTGCCTCATAAGTTGACTTTGAAGATACTTCAATTTTATAGGAATTCTTTGTTTTAAAGAGCCTTAATATAGAAATTCTTGAATATAGACTCATAAAAGTACACATATATAATAAATTGTGGCTGATTACTCACTTTATAAAACAGTTTACATTAAAATTTGTCTAAGTAAACATCACTTGTGCATGAACACCATGACTGAATTTACACAAATTCAACTGAAAGAACTTCAGGGAACATAGATCTATTACATAAAATAATACATAAAAATGTAAATCCTCAAAATTTTAATGATTCCATGCTTGTAGGATTAAGTCATTTATTTATAGAGTACCATTGAAATTAAGAAAAACACAATGATTTTTATATTGTTTTATTGCCCTTTCCCTTCTACCACCAATATGAGCATTTATCCTTAAAAAAATACCACGGGCATTTGACATAGGAAACACAATTTTATTACTTTACAAAGTCAATAGGTGGGAGACTGGGAATAGGTAATAATACAGACAGATTAGTTGTTGAATCTGGAGGTCAGTTGAAGTCTCCACGTGGTCTGCTCCGGAGGAGCAATCTTCCTGTATATGTTTTAAATTTTTTCTTGGCAAATTTATGTTCCACACATCTTTAGAGCCATTCTTAAATCATTAAAATCTCTCTCAAATTATTTATTGCATAAGTGCTAATGTTTTGTTATAAAGCAGAGAGGCTCAAAGCAGTTAAACTACCCAGGGTCATTCAGACGGTACCTCTCAGCTAATCCCTTTCTTGCATTTGGATGTCTTTGATCTACTGAACATTTGCTCTTTTAAAGATGCAATAGCCTTAAAAAAAAAAAAAAAAAAAAAAAAGGATGTAATAGCCTTCCACCAGGCTTACTGCATCAGTAGCATCAAAAACAACCATATGGGAGCAGGCAGTGGCAGTGCCCATTTGTACACATCTTTCTCCTATTCTAAATTGTGTCTTGAGCTCTTTCTATCCAATTCAAAAGAACGAATTAGGGGCAAACGTCTAGGCCAAGCATGTGAAACTCAAAGGCTAACATGGGCCAAATAAACAAGGTTTAAGTTTATGTTGGCCACAAAAAAACAAAAGCTTCAATTTTCATAGAAACGTAGGTTTATTTCGATAGAGACATGCTGAATGCAAAGAGCTGAAATAAATGAGTAATCATTAACATAAAATAATAGAATATTTAATAAAAATTATTATTTTTTCTTGAATATTAACTTACCAGATACTAAATAACTGCACAAATTAATAAGCATAATGCAAATAAACCTAGTTTTCTTGTTCTCCAAAAGCAAAATATTTCCTGTTGCTCATACCAAACAAGTCAGTACAAGACTAATGATGTGGCAATCGGCTGCTAAAATACTCACTGCTGGTATTAGTGGAGAGAAATGGTGTGCCTGCGCATAAGGTGCGTAAGGGAAATGAATGCAACACGATTATAGTAATCAGTCATTAGCGAACGTTGTAGTTCATTATTAAAAATTATGTATAACAAGATATTGTAAAAATTAAGTTATGAAATTTTTATTAAAATGTTTTTTACATACTGTTATATTGGCTGGTCTGTAAAAATATTCATTGTGGGCCAGTTTGACATGCTTGTTCTAGGCTGATCAGATTGACATATTTCTCTGAAAATTTTATTATTTACCCCAAACGTCTAGTTAAATTCATCATTTGTTAGCAACTCCAGACTATGGTTAGGAAGCAGAAGATAACAACTTTTATCTGAGTGGCCCATATATTGTGCTGGGGTCCAGCCCCAGTGGGTCCAGGGGTTCCCCAAAGGCGTGGATGGAGTCGGCGAAGAAGGAAGGACACGGAGACAGTGTTCAGTTGACCAGCAGCCTAGCCAGGATCTCCAGCCAGGATCTCCAGCCAAGTTCTGGTCTGGATCTCCAGCAAAGTTCTGGTTCGGATCTCCAGCCAGGTTCTGTGTCCATGTTCTCTTGCTAGGTTCTCCAGGTTCTCCAGCTAGGTTCTGTAGCCATGTTCCCTCGCTAGGTTCTCCAGCCAGGTTCTGTCCAGGTTCTCCAGCCAGGTTCAGTCACCAGGTTCTAGTCAGGTTCTCTTGCCAATTTCTGTAGTCAGGTTCAGTCCAGGATCTTTTGCCATGTTCTCTCCAGCGAAGTTCTTCTGTCTGTAGGTTCTGTGTAGGTTCTGTCTTCTTAGTTCTGTGTTCTAAGCTCTGTATTCTAAGTTCTGTGTCTTGCTGTCTTGTTACGTCTGTATTTATACCAGTTGATTCAATCCTATCAATCTCTATTACAAAGGTTAGGGCGTTTCTTATCTCCATTCCAGGGAGTAAAGATTATGTAGCTTAAGCATGATTGTTCATAGTTAAAGTGATTAATTACCCGCCTGGCACTTAGTTAAGAGGTTTTATTCCCTCCCTAACTTCAGGGGAAAATCCCTACCTGGGGAAACAACCTCTCTCAGAGAGGTGACCTTGGTTAAAACACATAGTGCCAAGAAGGTGAGCAAACATATTAAGAACAGTATGCCATATATGCCAGGTCCCTTGAAATAGCAAGCATGGACCGGCTCCCGGCAATATTGGTCTATTACCTTATCTCCTCCTTCTCCCTAAATTGAATTGTAATATTATTTTCTGGACTCTGCTTACAGAAAAGACTTGAAGACTAAAGTCATGCCTACTATAATTCATCATTTCCAAATGCTTTACTTTCTCTCTATATTTTAAAAACACTTTATTGAGGTATGATTGACACACAAAAAGCTGAACATATTTAGTATGTACTATTTCATTAGTATGTAGTTAGGTATATAACTGAGAAGTCATCAGAACAATCTTTGCTATAAACATATACATCATTTCCAAAAGTTTCCCTCCTCTTCAATTATTATTATTATTATTGTTATTATTATTATAACTAGAGGCCCGGTGCACAAAAATTTGTGCACTCGGAGGGGAGGGGGGGGGTCCCTCAGCCCGGCCTGTGCCCTCTCGCAGTCTGGGACCCCTCAGGAGATAACAACCTGCTGGCTTAGGCCTGCTCCTGGGTGGCAGAGGGCAGGCCCAATCCCAAGGTGCAGCCCCTGGTTGGGCTCAGAGCAGGGCCTATTGGGAGTTGGGGCGCTGCCCCCTGTCATGCACAGAGCAGGGTGGATAGGGAGGTTGTGATGCCACCCTCAGTCATGCTCTGGGTAGGGCCGATTGGGGGATTGGGGCACTGCCTCCTGTCACACTCAAGGCAGGGTCAATGGGGAGGTTGCGGCGCCACCCCCTGTCACGCACAGAGCAGGGCCAATCAAGGGGTTGGGGCACTGCCCCCTGTCACGCACAGGGCAGGGCCGATCAGGGGGTTGAGGAGCTCCCCCCTGTCACTCACAGAGTAGGGCCGATAGGGGAGTTGGGGCACTGCCCCCTGTCACACACACAGAGGAGGGCGGATCAGGGGGTTGGGGCGCCGCACCCTGTCACACACAGAGCCACAGGGTGATCAGGGGGTTGGGGAGCTCCCCCCTATCAGGCACAGAGCAGGGCTGCTCAGGGGGTTGGGGCGCCTTCCCCTGTCACGAACAGAGCAGGGCGGATAGGGAGTTTGTGGCCCAGGCCCCTGTCACACACATAGCTGCAGGGCGATCAGGGGGTTTGGGCGCTGCCCCCTGTCACGCTGATCCTGGTGCCGGGAGGCCTCACAGCTCCGCTGATCCCGGTGCTGGGAGGCATATTATCCTTTTACTATATAGGATAGAGGCCTGGTGCACGGGTGGGGGCCAGCTTGTTTGCCCTGAAGGGTGTCCTGGATCAGGGTGGGGGTCCCCATTGGGGTGCCTGGCCAGCCTGGATGAAGGGGTGATGGCTGTTTGCAGCTGGTCACACCCCCTTCAGGGTGGGGGTCCCCACTGGGGTGCCTGGCCAGTCTGGGTGAGGGGCTGAGGGCTGTTTTCAGGCTGGCGGGTGACTGAAGCTCCCAACTGCTCCTTTTTTTCTGTTTTTTTTTTTTTTTTTTTTTTTTTTTTTTTTAATTCTAGGCCAGCTTTAGCTCTGAGGCTTGGCTCCAGCTCTTAGGCCTCAGTTGCTGAAAGCAGGTATCTGGTTTGCTTGGGTTCTATAATCAAAACACTGTTTTAACTCCAGCTCTGAGATCCCGGCAGGCTGAAAGCAGGTTTCTAGGGTTTTGTTTAGCTTCTATATTTGTAACAATGTTTCAAACTGCAAGCTCAGAGGCCGGCAGCAGCAGGTGGGGAACTTTGGAGTCCTCCATCACTGAAGCAAGCAAGCTTCATGTTCGCTTCAAGCTGCCTGGCTGCCGGCCGTCATCTTGGCTGGCAGTTAATTTGCATATCACCCTGATTAGCCAATGGGAAGGGTATCGGATGTACAGCTAATTACCATGTTTCTCTTTTATTAGATAGGATGGGAACACAATGTAAGATCTATCAGCAATTTTTAGGTATGCAGTGCAGTATTAATTATAGGCTCTATAAAAAATTATCATTTTTTACCCACATCTACTTTTTCTTCCTAGTTTTTTGATATTAATAGAAAAGACATCATCAGTCTATTATAATTTTATTCCATATACTACTTTTATTTTTAGCCAAATTGAGATCACAATTTAAAAAATTCATTCCACACATATTTGATATTTCAAGCAACTATTTCACAAAGGTTTGGTTAGCATTCCTTCAACAAATATTGAAATTGGAACCCATCAAGGTTGAGTAAATTCCCCGATATTTCACTCGTACTGAGCAAATAAAACATTATAATGTATTACTTAATCATGAATGTTTGCATTTTAAATATTTGCCTTGGTAGGGGTGATTAAATTTTGCACATATTAAACTGGTGACTTCATTTTTTAGTGTCCCCACCCCCCTACCCTCTTCCACCTCCACCTCCCTGCCCCCGCCATCACCACACTGTTGTCCATGTCCATTTGTTCTTTTAACCTTATCTTTTTCATCTTCCTCTGTAACCTCTATCTCTCTAGGCAATAGCTCTTATTTATCACATCTAGGGCTAATGAGGGATGGTTAAGGTGAACTTCGCTATATAGTGAGGAGAAAATACCTCTTCTGTTATGACAACTAGGCCATGAAACTTGTTCTTTGTTAAATGGCGGGAAAGATATAAAGTAATGGTTTTCAATGGGCAGAATAGTTCTCTGTTGTGTTGGACTGAAAACACAGATTGCTTAACATTTCTACCCCAATAAATGCCACTTGCTTCTTCTATTTAGACTGTGCTCAGAAAACAGAACAGCCCTCACATATTTCCAAAAGCTCTCTGATTGGAATGCAATAATGCAATGCGTGACGGTACCATCCACAGTTTTGTAAATGAGGTAGAAGAATAATGAGAAATACGGCCCTACTGGTTACTGGGGAATTATGCACTGAAGAAGCCTGGAGAAGGTAGGAACTTGAGCTCGTCAGAGTTCTGATTTTTTACTTCTGTACATTGGCCTGGAGAGGATCTACTGTCTTCAGTGGGTCAAAGTAACACTCAGGGCGGAAGACCCCTTCACCTCTCTCCCCTTTTGGTGCCCTGGAGGCTGCTCTGTACCAATCTGGGATGTAGCTACATCAGAGTCATCTAGGAGTGCAGTGTGGGCAGGCAAGGGAGGGTTAGAAGTCCAGGATCCTTCAGTTGCCTATATGTTGTTATTGGACCCAAGGATTTCATAGCTCTCCAGAAGGAATGTAAAGGCAGCTGGCTGAGGCCAGTGAGGCCAGAGGTCTCAAATGGGTTACTAGCCGGTGATCCTGTAGCACAGGCTGTGCTGGAACAACAGCCATAGAACAGGAGGCAGAATGATGTTGAAAGTTGGGAGTTCTACGTGATAAGAAAGAGCTGAAGTGAATCAGAGTCAGCTAGAGAGAACTTCTGGGACTTCTTGATAAAGGGACCAAACTGAGAGAAACTAGTTGGCTAAAGACTCAAATGATGAATGTTAGCAGGTAAGGATAAACCAGATTGATATTGGCTAAGAAGACAAAGAACTCAGAGACCAAGGGCCCTGCCCCTTCTTCTCCACCAGTAAGTAAGAGCGATCACATCCTTCTGGACACTGCCTTGGAGAGGAACGGAGAGGTGGAAGAGAAGACTTACAGTTTTTGGATTTCACCAACTTTATAACTGAAGAGAGTTAAAATTACCTTCCCCCTGCATTGACCCTTTACTGAGCGTTCTTGATGAAGAATCAATAAGTTATTGAAAAATAAAGGAACTATATTTTCTCTATGCATGTGATCTACAATGTGAGCTAAATTACAACCCACTATACACTTTAAATATTTTTATAGTTAATGCTTTCTATCCAAAAGAATGAGTCTGTGGAGTCTCAGGTTTTAGTTTATAATGAATACATGCCTCCTAGTGATGACATTGTGTAGATGACTATTATTTTAAGAGTACAGAATAAACAAAAGGAAAAATATATTAACCATTTATGATTCCTCTGTTATGATTAGAGGATATTTTAAGGAATGGAAAGGTAGCGTTTAATAGAAAAGACAAAGCAAAGCCATAAAGGAGAGACTAAAAGAACAGACTTGAGGAAAAGACTTTGAGACTTACGGTTCTGCAGAGTTTGAGGCATTGGTAGAAAACAGGACAAGGAGAAATAGTGTGAAACCTGAATGAGGAAGTCTGACTTTCCCCATCATGAGGGAAAAATCTCAGGGCCGTATTGTGCCTCACTTCCTGTCTTCAGCCTGGTCAAATTTACCAGGCTTTATATGGCTGCTATTTTGCAAGGCCACTATAAAGATTTCAAATAGATCTCAGAATTGGACACAGATTTCCAAAGAGGGTGGTTGCTCTCAGTGATTGCCTCATTACTATCAAGGCTGATTATTTGTTTTCCAATGGAAAAAAGAGAGTAGTTGTTGTTTTTTTTTTGAAATGCCTGGTTCTCTTTTCTTTTCCTTTTTTTCTCTCTTCATAGTGTGAAATAGAAAAGTAAAAGAAAAAAGCTGGATGGTGGTAGAATAGGTCTGCAGGAAGTGTTTTTCCCCCTTTACTTATAACATTGAATCTGAAAAACATGCACCACACAATACAACTTTTCCCATAGCTGGAAATGTTTAACAACTTTTTATTTAAATGTAATTAACACAACATAAAAGTCACTATTTTAAAGTCTACAGCTAGGTTATTTTTAATATTTTCACAGTGTTATATAACCACCATCACTATCTAATTATTTGTGTCTAGTTTCTTTCACTTAGCATTATATCTTTAAGGTTCACCTATGTTGTTGCATGTATCAATATTTCTTTATATGGGTGGCAATTATTTCATAGTATGAATGTACCATATTTTGTTTATTCATCAATTGATAAAACATTTGAGTTGTTTTAACTTTTTTGTTATAATGAATAATTCTGCTATGAACAGTTGCGTAAAACTTTTTGTGTGAATACGTTTTCAATTTTCTTGGGTACAGAAATAGGAGTGGAATTGCTGGGTCACATGGGAACACTTTTTTAGAATAGATTTTTATTATTGATGTCAGAGAGGAAAGGAGAGGGATGGAGAAACATCAATGATGAGAAAGAATCATTAATCAGCCCCACACTGAGGATTGAGCCTGCAACCTGGGCACGTGCCCTGACTGGGAATGGAACCATGACCTCCTGGTTCATAGGTCAATGCTCAACCACTGATCCATGCCAGCCAGACTCATGTGGGAACTCTAGTTTAAAATATTGAATACCTGCTAAACTGTTTTCCCCAGAAGCTGCAGATTTTTTACATTGCCACCTGTAATATTTGGGGCTTCTATTTTATCGATCAGCTGCCTCCTGCACACGCTCCACTGGGGATGTGCCCACCACCAATGTACATGCCCTTGACCGGAATCGAACCTGGGACCTTTCAGTCCGCAGGCCGATGCTCTATCCACTGAGCCAAACCAGTTAGGGCTCGTATATCTTCTTTAGAGAGGTTTCTGTCCAATTCGTTCACCATATTTTAATTCAGTTGTTTGTTTTCTTATTGTTGAGTTGGAAGAGCTTTTTATATGTTCTATGTGCTAGATATATATTAGATATATGGTTTGCAAATAATCTCTCATTATGTGGCTTGCTTTTCTCTATTGATAGTATTCTTTGATGCACAAACTTTTTAAATTTTGATAAAGTAAAAGTTTTACCCATGAACCCTCAATTTTATTCTATTGATCTATATGTTTACCCTTTTGCCAGTGCCGTGCTCTCTATTACTGTAGTTTTGTAGGAAGTTTTGAAATAAGGAAGTGTAAGTCTTCTTTATTTGTCCTGCTTTTTCAATATTGTTTTGGCCATTCTCAGCACCTTGCAACTCCAAATGAATTTTAAGATGAATTTGTCCATTTTTGAAAGAAAAGATGAAATAAGTTGTAAGGTTTTTTAAGTGTAAACCAATATTACATATAAAAGCTTCTGGACAGAGTGAGTTATGTGGTCTTAGTAGTTGCTCAGCACTGAAGTCTCAAGATTTGCAGACAAACTCAAGGAGCTAAATAGCTAATTAACCCTCCTATGCACCTATGGAAATAATTAGTCCAAACCTAATTAGAATACCATCTTCTCTTTTAAAATATCAAAAATAATCTTTGGAGAGAATACTATTGTGAATATGTTTTCAACTTTTTTGGGTATGTAAGTTTTCTGAGAGAAGACTGTCAGAAAAATTATCAGGAACTTAGAAAAAAGGCAAAAGAATTAGAGCACTTTCTTTCAATTAATCCAACTTTGGGGCAAGGACCACTTAAGGAGTATCTGAGAATAGACTTAGTTCATTTCATTATTTACTACAAATGAAAGTTTCCAGACTAAATGAAGTTACTTTTGTTTTTGTCAGGAACATATGCAAATAAAAATAATTTCTGTCCAGTGGAACAGATAACCCCAAAGATTTTATAGCATATTTTATGTTATTTAATTTTACACTTAACCCATCATTCTTATCCTAACAGTTTTTTTGGATGCTCTTTGAAATGGTTATTTCATTAATTAGTAGGTTAAATTAAATTTTTTTTGACGTGTGTTCATTTTAAGTTTGCCTGGCAATATAAATTTTCACATATATATGAACCTAGCACAGTTAATACTATCCATCTTTGAGTCCCACTATGAACTACACAATATTTTATAGAAAAAGTGATCTTTAGCCCCGGCTGGATAGCTCAGTTGTTAGAGTGTTGTCCTGATATGCCAAGGTTGTGGGTTTGATCTCTGATCAAGGCACATCAGGAAGTAACCACTGAATGCATAAATAAGTGCAACAACAAAATGATCTCTGTCTCTCTCTCTCTCCCTCCCCCCTCTCTCCCTTCCTCTTTCTATCTAAAATCATAAAAACTGATCTTTTACTCTAAAATATTTGATAAAGACATTCCCTTTTGTTCCCCTCCCCCCTCTTTTTTTTTAAATGCCTGGTACAAAGAGGAAATTTGTTTTTACCTTCAGCTGCTCAGTTCCAGTGAATAGATAATTTGGGGGCCAAGTGTTACTCAAGTGTAATGATGATGAAAGTATTTTGCATGGCTTTTATATTAACAGACTTTTGAGCATCAACGGTCATTTACTGGACTTGACAAGTTTCATTTTTATCAGATTAAGTACACTTTACATTGGCACAGATTTTCTCAGGCAAAAATTTGTTCAACAATACCTGGAATCCTTGCCAAACTTTTGCCTTTGGTGCCTTAAATGTTCTTAATTTTAATGTCATTTTGTTAATTCTGATTCTTAAATTCTAAAAGAAAAATAACTGAGAATATTAACTAAAAATCATAAAGAAATTCTCACATTTCCTTATATTTTTAAAATGACGAAGAAGAATGGTCTTCAATAATACTTCTACTTTATATTAAAGACCATTCACACATTTCTTGAGGGCATGTACAAGATGGATTAAACTCTACAAATCAACCTTTTCACCCAAACATGCATTGAAGTCCAACAGCAGTAATGACTCATGGATTTTTTAATTTTATTATGAATTATTCCATTTTTCTTACAACCACAGGAGAAATGAACAAGAAAACTCTTCCTAGAGAACTTTGACAACAAGAAGAGTTTCATTTGTTTTTTGAGAAAAGCTATAAGGATGGCTGAGGGCTAGAAGTGAAAAATGGACCCATATCTCAGGTGATATTTGTTTGTTTGTTTGTTTGTTGTTAGTTATGGGACAAGACATTTTCATTGTTGAATAAAACAGTGAAAAAATTTCATTGCTTTCTCTTTCCTTCGCCCAATCACTTGGGACCTTCTCATTTATTTGTTCTGATTTAAAAGACAAAGAAGAATGAAATAAGTAAATTGGGCCAATGAATGAAAACATGTTATTTTAATTGGGTATTATAGTAGTTGTCATAACAAACTGGGTGGCTTAAAACAAGGGAAATTATTTTTTCATAGTTCTGGAGGCCACAGGTCAGAAATCAAGGTATTGACAGAGGTGCTCACAGGATCATTGTTCCTATGCTGGGATGTCCCTGGTCGCAGAGCTGACTGGCAGCCATTTCTGTTTTCTCCACTCTGGTGATTCCCTAAGATCCCACCTCATTCAATTTACAACCCAACCCAAGGGGTTTTGCATATGAATAGCCTGTTCTTGTTGCAGCTGGGTTAGGGATCCCCAAACCTATCAATAAAAGGCTCAAAGACCCAGCACCAGCACCAGACTGCCTTGCTTCACAGCTGGGTCTCATCTTGGCATTTCCAAACCCGATACAAAGAAGAGGAACCTGTAGATCTCTCTGTAGTTCCTGCTGGGTGGCCCCAGGCAGTGGCTGACTTTGCACCTCCCTGGAGACCCAAGAGCCAGTGTACCAGTGGTCAGTGCCAGACCATACCAGATTACAACACTTCACATCCATAAGTGACACACTCAAGGGGTCAGATTCAGTGAGCACCAAAGCCCCACTGAAGCAAGTCCTGCTCCATAGGGGTGTCTCCTGCATAGAAGCTCTCCCACTGTAGTCACAGCTGGTCCTCACAGCCAATTGGCCTGGAGGTCAATTCCTCCCAGTGACACCAGTAGCAATCAAGTCTCAACTACAACAAAACTGTGCTCACAGCCCACAGAGGGGTGCAACTAGAACTCCCAGGTCAGGTGACTGGGGAGGCTGAGCCACTGGGCCCTATAGCATACCTACTACACAAGGCCACTCTACCAACTCAAGGAGACATAGCAGCTCTACCCAATACATAGAAACAAATACAGGAAAGTAGCCAAAATGCAGAGGCAAAGAAACTTGTCACAAATGAAAGAAATGGAGGAAAGCAAACTACTGGATATTTAGTTCAAAACCACATTTATAAGGTTACTCAAGAATATTCTAGAAACCTCCAAAAAAATGGAAAAGGACCAGTCAGAAATTAAGCATACACTAATTGAAACCAAGAATATTATACAGGGATTCAACACTGGAGTAGATGTTCCCAAGAATCAAATCAACGATTTGAAATATGAGGAAGCAAAAAACACCCAACCAGAAGAGCAAAAAGAAAAAGAATCCAAAAATATGAAGATAGTATACGGAGCTTCTGGAACAACTTTAAGTGTACCAACATTTGCATTACAGGGGTGCCAGAAGAAGAGATAAAGCAAGATATTGAAAACCTATTTGAAGAAATAATGACAGAAAACTTCCCTATCTGGTGAAAGAAATAGACTTACAAGTCCAGGAAGCGCAGAGAGTCCCAAACAAGAGGAACCCACAGAGGACTACACCAAGACACATCATAATTAAAATTCCAATGGCTAAAGACAGAGAGAGAGTCTTAAAAGCAGCAAGAGAAAAGCAGTTAGTTACCTACAAGGGAATGCCCATATGACTGTCAGCTGATTTCTCAACAGAAACTATGCAGGCCAGAAGGAAGTGGCAAAAAATATTCAAAGTGATGAATAGCAAGGACCAACAACCAAGATTACTCTACCCAGCAAAGCTATCATTTAAAATTGAAGGTCAGATAAAGAGCTTCACAGACAAGAAAAAGCTAAAGGAGTTAATCACCACCAAACCAGTATTATATGAACTTTTGAAAGATATTCTTTAAGAAGAGGAAAAAGAAGAAGAAGGTCAAAATTATGAACTATAAAATGGTAATAAATACATATCTATAACAAATCTAAAAATCAAAATAAATGAATAAATAATCTAATGAACAGAATAAACTGGTGAATAAAATAGAATCAGAGGCATGGAAATAAAACAGACTGATGATCCTCAGAGGGAAGGGGTTTGGGGGAGCAGGAAGAGATTAAATAAAGATCTTATATGGAAATGTGCATTATCTATGGACACAGACAATAGGGTGGCGAAGGCCTGGGGCAGGGCGGAACTGGGTGGAGGGGAGCAATGGGGAGGGAAAAGAGGGACATCTATAATAATCTCAACAATAAAGATAATAATAAAAAAAAGACACAGGTTTGGGCCTGGCCAGTGTAGCTCAGTGGTTGAGTGTCAACCTGTGAACCAGGAGGTCATGGTTTGATTCCCTGTCAGGGCACATGCCTGGGTTGTGGGCTTGATTCCCTGTGGGGACTGTGCAGGAGACAGCCAATCAATGACTCTCTCTCATCATTGACTAGAGGCCCGATGCATGAAGATTCATGCAAGAATGGGCCTTCCTTCCCCTCGCTGCCCGCACTGCCTTTGCTCTGGCCAGAGCTGCCTTTCTGACTTCACTCTGGCCCAGAGCCCCTTTCCACCTTCCCACACTGCCCAGAGGCCCAGAGTGGCTGGGAGAGTGCGGAACATCTGTGTCCTGCCACGCCCCCTGGCTGCTCGGTGCCTGCACATGTGTGCGCTGCCCACAGGCCTGCCATTTTTGTTGGGTTAATTTGCATATTCACTCCTGATTGGCTGTGGGGCATCACAAGGGTACATATAATTTACATATTTGTCTATTATTAGTGTAGATGTTTTTATCTCTCCCTCTCTGAAATCAATAAAAATATATTTTAGAAAAAGACAAAAAAAGGACACAGATTTGGTTTTTAAAGAGATTTGAGTCTATAAATTAGAGGAAAATAAGAAATTTTTAAGAATGTGGAATTGTATATGTTGGAAGAGAGATATTTGTGCTAAAAATTTGGATAATTGGATGTAGCCTGAAGAAGAGAGAGCAGTTCTGCACAAATGGGCTATGTATCTGGAGGTCAGCAGGAACTTGCTTTCTTCTTCCCAGAAAATAAACTCTCATAATGCGAATCTGAAATATTCTCTTGCTAAAATTTTTCAATGGTTCCTATCAACAAATAAGAAATATTGTTTTGCCTTGGCTGGTTTGGCTCAGTGGATAGAATGTCAGCCTGCAGACTGAAGGGTCCCAGGTTCGATTCTGGTGAAGGGCACCAAAAAAAAAAAATATATATTATTTTGTTCTTTCATTATCTTGTAATTTTATTTTTGCCCATCTCTTTATACTTTTCCCACATATACATTATTTTATGCTTTTAACTTATCTTATTATGTATGTCCATAAAGTTAATCTTTAATTTTGACTTTGTAGTTTGGTTCATATTCAGAAATTAAGTCAGAATTAGCATTCACTTCAAGTGAATTGAATAAATAAAGATAAAATATGAGTAAGTAGGGATGGCTAAATACTGTAAAGTACTGACATGCATAATCATTATAAATTCATTCACATCCAATGCTGTACTAAGTACCCAATATGACTAGGGGGTTAATTAACTTGATAAATGGATTTCAGAGTTTTACTTGGAATAAATAATGAGCTTAGTAGTACAAAGAAAACATGAAAACAGAGAAACAAGGAGTCTATGAAAGAATAGACCATCTAGCTAATTAATGGGATAGAATAAATCACTCAGAAACAAGCCTTAGAATGTATGATAATTTAGTGTGTGATAAAGGAGGCACTTTTTATTAGCAGAGAAATATATAATTGGTCAATAAATGAAAATGGGACTATCAGAAAGCTACACGACAAGAAAATCTTTCTTTCTTTCTTTCTTTCTTTCTTTCTTTCTTTCTTTCTTTCTTTCTTTCTTTCTTTCTTCCTTCCTTCCTTCCTTCCTTCCTTCCTTCCTTCCTTCCTTCCTTCCTTCCTTCCTCCTTCCTTCCTTCCTTCCTTCCTTCCTTCCTTCCTTCCTTCCTTCCTTCCTTCCTTCTTTCTTTCTTTCTTTCTTTCTTTCTTTCTTTCTTTCTTTCTTTCTTTCTTTCTTATTGTTGACCTTATTACAGATATCCCCTATTCCCCTCCCCCCCCCGCCGCCAGGAAAGTCCATTTCGATACTCACTTATCACGCAACAGTAATTTGCGATGGAATTAAATGTAAAAACTTGAACCAGGCCTTTTGTTCTCATATATGCAAGATTTCATCATCACAAAGATCTCTCTAATGCTATTCCTTTATAGTCACACCCTTCTCCCTTGCTCTATCATTCATAAGCCTGGGAATCACTCATTTTTTTTTCATTTCTGTAATATTGTCATTTCAAGAATGCTATATAAAGGGAATTATATGATATGACCCTTGAAATTGGCTTTAATTTCACTTAGCATAATGTTTTTGAGATTCACCCAAGCTGTGTATATCAGTAGTTTGCTACTTTTTATTGCTGAGTAGTATTTTGTGATATGAATGTACGTACATACCACAGTTAGTTTAATCATTCACCTATTGATCAACATTTTAGTTGTTTCAATGCTGAGAAAATTGTGTGCTTTTTCTACCTTCCTGTGGGTTACTTGAACATTTTTTTGCAACTCCATTTTATTTGAAGTGATTTTGAATGCACTTTTTTGTATAATATTTTAGTGTTTTTAAAAACATTATGAGGAATAGGTACATATTTCAGAAGGGAAATATAACATTGATAAAGAACAAAAGAAAAAATAGAGTTGTAAATATCATAAATTTAATCAACATACAAATTGTATCTATTTCCAATTTCTATTCCTTCTTTCTCCCACTATCTTCTCTCCTGATAAGTCTTTGTTCTTCGTTTGTGGGGAATTTCATTTGATAAGACCCATACATTTCCATTTTCAAGCATTTCCATGTTCAGATTCTACACAGTAAAAGGAAAGGTAGAAATATTAGGGAAATTCTGTGTTCTACGAAAGGAATAATCTTCATATTTTATTTATAAAGAATAAATATTTAAACTTAATATATTTTAATTATATTTAGTGATAGAGCTGTTGTAGTTTTTTCTTTTTATATTTTAAAGCAGAGAATTGAAAGTCTCTCAGCAAGTGTTCTACCGTCAAAGATGAACCCTGTCAACCTCTAGAGGAAGGTCTTGTAGATCACATCTCTCACCCTGTGCTGTATGGAGAGTTACAGTGAAAAGTTTCCTAGTCTAAGTTTAGAAACACTGTAGGAAGGTCACAGATGATAAATGTATTACCACTAGGTATGGAACCTAAAGTAAATATTAGATTACTTGTTTTTTTATATGCAGCAAATTACTGAATTCATCTTTAAACAAGTTATCCCAGACACCAGTAATTATACTTCACTTGCATTTTTCTATTGAGAAATTCTATAATACATTTGAAATACTTTAATTCATAAATGATGCCCCAGAGATATTCAAGAATCAGCACTGTGCACACAACAGATATTTATTTTCTTTATGTTGGCATTAGATTTCTGTTTCTACTTTACCAGCACTGCATGGAGCACTGTATTCTTCAATGGTGAACTCCTCTGAAACACAAACATGATGAGACAGAAAGAGTGAAGACATTCAGTAACAGTCAGATAGCAGTGAATTGTAAATAAACTGTATAATGTAAGCTAAGAAAGAAAGTACAAAAACAGTGATGGAGCCAATAAAAGTGACTTCCTTCTGTACTAAGCCATTTGGGACTGGGGTGGAAGGGTGAAGAAGGAATATTGGGCTTGGATACAGAATGGAGGGGCAGGTTTCACAGATGGAAGACAGTTTCTATCTCTATAGAGCACTGCACAGCCCCTTTCACAGCTGTGTCTTTCTCATTGCAGTTGTACCTGCCTCTTAACCAGTGGTTCTCAACCTTCCTAATGCCGTGACCCATTTAATACAGTTCCTCATGTTGTGGTGACCCCCAATTTCATTGTTACAAATTGAACATAATTAAAGCATAGTGATTAATCACAAAAACAATATGTAATTATATATGTGTTTTCCAATGGTCTTAGGCGAACCCTGTGAAAGGGTCATTTGACCCCCAAAGGGGTCACGACCCACAGGTTGAGAACCGCTGTCTTAAACTAAGAAGGAGTGAAGTTCTTGTTTGTTTGTTTTTTTGCCAGAGGATATTTTTTCATTGATTTTATTTATTTTTAATTTTCTTTTTTAGAGAGTAGAAGGGAGGAGGAGAGACAGAGAGAAAGAAACATCTATTGATTGCCTCCCACACGGATTCCAACCAGACCAGGGCTGGGGATCGAGCCTGCAACCGAGGTACATGCTCTTGATTGGAAACGAGATCAATTTATAAGAATGGTTCTAAGACTTGTGTAGGGGTCACGTGAGAGGTACAAGAGCATGATTATCTGGTGGCCATAAACTCACTTTTTCTTCTAGTAACAAATCGTGGAGTTTTGTTTTCATTAAGGGAACCCTTTCCTAGGTTAGTCTTTCTTCCCCCCAAAGTTCAGCATGTCTGAATCCCACTCACCTGTCTCATAATAATCATAGGCTTTTACTGTAGCTGGTTTTAAATTATCTACTTGGATGTCTTGTTCCACCAAGAAGGAGAAACTCAAGGCTTGTTTGGTTAGCTGGAGAGACAGAAAAACTGAATTAAAATGGGAGATTAACTTAGTTACTAATTATCATCCTCTCTTCTTAAGATATTATGCCATCCATTTGTAACAAAACTCACAGAAAGAATGAGACATTTGGGGACTTGCATAACACACTCAGTGACATAAAAGAGGCAATTCTATGGACAGTCAAATGCAGTAAACTGAGCATTGCTGACCAATCGTGGCTTCATTTTCCTATGTAGTTATTTTCTTTCTTTTTTTAAAAAAAATATATTTCTTTATTGATTTCAGAGAGGAAGAAAGAGGGAGAGAGAGATAGAAACATCAATCTCTGATATGAGAGAATCACTGATTGGCTGCCTCCTCCATCCCCCTACTGGGGATCAAGCCCACAACCCGGGCATGTGCCCTTGGCCAGAATCGAACCTGGGACCCTTCAGTCCACAGGCCGACGCTCTATCCACTGAGCCAAACCGGCTAGGGCTCTATGTAGTTATTTTCTTCTCCCTCACCTGTGTATGTGAGAAGCACTAGCTGGAATCTGCACTGGTTTGTGGGGACCCTGGCATTGCCCCCAGATCTAGCAGTGTCACAGAGAATCTTACCTCCTCGAAGTAAATCAGGACATGGCTGGTGCTCACTTTAGTCCTTTGAATCTGAGGCCTTTCTTGGAGCTGTTGACAAGGAGGACAAGACAGAGATATGAGATGAAGAAATTTTAGGCTGAGAGAAGTTTTCAGATACTTATAATCTAAGTGGTTACTCAGAAACATCCAAACGGATCATTTTGATTTCTTCAGAATATCTATATATATAAAAATCCACCTATCGGAATGCCATAACGACCGTAATGCCCACTGTGACCAGCAAAACGGCCAACCTCCCGCAGCCCCTCCCCCTGGCCGACCCTGCCCCTACTCACTCCCTCCTACCCCAATAGCCTAGGACTGCCACCCCTACCCCAATAGGGGGCAGGGCCAGCCAGCCCACCACCCACAGCCTCTCCCCATGGCCAGCCCCACCCCCAATCAGCCCCCAGCACTCCGATTAGCCTGAAGCCCCTCCCCCTAGCCAGCTATTGCCCCAATTGATCCCCCCACCCCAATCAGGGGCGGGACCCACTGGCCAATCACCTGTGGCCCCTTCCACCAGCCAGCTCGGCCCTGATTGGGCCCTGATCAGGGTGGGCCAGCCAGCAAAGCTCCCACCATCTCCTCCTACCAGCAGGCTCAGCCCTGATCTGCCCTGATTGGGGTCAGGCTGGCCGGACCCTACCCATACACGAATTTGTGCACTGGGCCTCTAGTATTATAATATTTCACATATTCAGGGTGGGCAAATGTACGGTTACAGTTGTTCATATGGAAAATAATACAATAATAAATAATAATAAAAGGATAAACTCTATTTTGTGTACTTATAATTGTAGGCCTACTTTTGCCATATCCTATATGCATATACATATACATAAGATATAGAGTGTCCCCAAAAATGTATGTCCACACTTTGAATAATTATAAAGGCAGTGTTTATTAAAATACATTTCATTTCAAAAATTGAGCTATCAGCTCTTAAAGTGTGTATACATTTTTTTGGACATCCTGTATATCTCCCTTTTTCTTTTTAGGTATAGTTGGAAGATAATTCAACACCATTCCATGTCCCCCTAGATGTCTCAGGGCTTATTGGAACATTATTAACCATAGTATTTATTAAGCATGTCTTTACTTGAGACCATATAACAATGATACCTACTATTAAAATGATGGAAACACTAGAGAAGCAAGTTTGAGAGAGTAAACTTCTTGAAAACGGAATCAATAAAAGAAAATTGACAAGTGTAAAGGCAACATTTATCATGACTCTGCTATCTGTAAGGGACTTAGGGTTTACCTTTTTCACTGATGGTTTCACAGGTATGAAGCCGGACACCATCTTTACATCAACAATGACCATGTTGGAGCTGGGTCGTTCTCCAGTGTAACTATGAAGTCAAGGCATAGGGACAAGGCATTCAAACAAATTCTTTGGAATTCATTCATGATAGAAATCTTCCCTTCTCCTGCTCTGGCTGGTGTGGCTCAGTTGGTTGGAGCATTGTCTTGTATACTGAAAGGTCTTGGGTTCAAATTCCCGGTCAAGCTACATGCCTAGGTTGTGGGTTCAATCCCTGGTTGGGGCACATATGGGAGGCAACCGATCAATGTTTATCTCTCACATCAATGTTTCTCTCTCTCTCTCTCTCTCTCTCTCTCTCTCTCTCTCTCTCTAGCTCTCTCTCTCTCTCCCTCTCCTTCCTCTCTCTCTAAAATCAATGGAAACATCCTTGGGTGAGGATGAGAGAGAGAGAGAGAGAGAGAGAGAGAGAGAGAGAGAGAGAGAGAGAAAGTCTTCCCTCCTCTTTTATTTCTAGTGTTCCCTATCTCTATCAACCATTCTGCTCCATCTACTCTATTTGCTTCTGTTATGGTTGTTTGGAAAACCCATCTTTATGAAATTGCATTCTGCAGATATGGCAACATTATATTCTCAATGTTTAAAACTTTTCGGTAAGAGTGAAGAATACTTTCTTGTTAACAAATATTGCAAGAATTCCACCTTCATTATGTGTGACTTGGGTAATGGCATTCCCCCACACAAGAAAATCAATTTTGTCATATTCTACAAAAATTGTGGTAGTAATTTAGGATTTACCTAATGTTGATGTGAATCTTGAATTTCCTGTGAGCATCTACTCCATTACAATTCTTGGGAAGAGTTTCAACATTCAGAGCAAAGGGAACTTTCCCTTCTTTCTTGGGCAGGATGTTATATCTCAGAGATGTCTAAAACAAATAGAAAAAAATCCTTTAAGTTTTCACTCAAATAGTCTATCTCTTCTAGGTGATTCATACCTTCCCTTAGCACACATTTCTTTTTCCATTTTGAAATTCAAATATAATTATGAGACATTTCCCCCTATTTGTAGCATCCCCTAAACCCTGGCAGTCTCACCTGGAGATACACACATCCTGACCCTGACACTGTTGTGCTGTACTCCCCTGGAATCTCTGGCAGCGCAACCTCCTGCAGCAATAGGCGATTGGCATCGTCTACTTGAAATTCTTCTGAGAAGGTCTATGAAGACTTGACGGTGACTGTAGCTGCGTTCTCCCTTTTAGTGAAAGTTGCTGCTCCATATTTGGAGAGGCCTTGAAGAGCTACCACCGTATCCCGAAAAAGATGGGTGCAAAAATCACAGGAGAGAAAGGTGATAAAATCACACTAGATGTAAACCATATCAATGTCTCTCTCTCAGAGTTATATACTTATAAACACAGTTCATTAACTGAATTTCAATTCAGCTCAGACATGGCTATTAATCATGAGCTATTATAGATACTTGGGGGAAATGAAGACGTTTCCTCATTCAAGTAGCTTACAATATACACATAGAAATAAGACTCAGATATTTGACATAAGGCAGAGGCTATTTCAAAAATTTATATAAAAATATTTGTTGTAAAAATTCAGAGAAGTTTGAAGAAATTAGAGCTAAAATAGTAGAGTAGAAGGTGAGAAATATGGTTATCTTGGAATAATGAGAAAAGTTTATACAGACAGAAGGAGGAGTATCAGGGAGTATCAGGTGTGGGAAATGTTGTAACTGATAACACAGAAAAGGGAGTGAGTGAGCCAATTCCAGAAAAAGTGAAGGGACCAGCCTAACTAGATGGAAATATTCATGTTTACTGGGGAGAGGAAATATTTTGGGTAAAATATTACATAATTTTAGTCTTTGGATGAAAAATATTTATGTTATCAGGAAAGTAATCTTATAAAAACACTGCTTTAGGAAGATTATCTACTTTACAGGAGAAAAGATCTGGGACTTTAAAGAGAGCAATAATCCACATATGAAATAATAAGGCTGGAACCTTTGTGATGATGGAGGAATGAAGGAAGCACGGATTAGAAACACTATTCAATGATCCAACTCGTAGAATATGGTTATGTCTCCGTCTGTATTCGTATATTTGTTTTTCTTCCTAGAGTTTCTCCACAGACCTGAGTGGAGGAGAAGCCCCCAGTGGGGTTTTGTTGCTTGGCGATCCATTTCACAATACGTGAAGCGACAGACAGATCTTCTGAAGATGGGGCGGGCTGGGCGGTAAGATGGGCAAGGAGCACGTAGGATGTCACCTCCACGTCAGCAGAAGGAGCCCGGGGTTGATAGGAGAATGCCTCAGCTTCTTGAAGTTTCCCAGGGCATTGCCAGTGGATTGAGTCCCCTTTGAAATGGAAAAAGACACAATTGTAAGCGCAGAGAATGGCTTCAAAACCTAATTCATGATGTCATTATAATTAGAGCTCTTGAATTGACATAAGTGAAGTAAAAGTATTAAGTAATCACCAGTCCAGCAAATCTTTGCAGAGAAAGTAAAGGAAGGTCCCATGTGTCTTTTTTTTTAAATTAAATCTTTATTGTTCAGATAATTACATTTGTTCCTCTTTCCCCCCCCCCATAACTCCCCTCCTCCCAGTTCGCGCCCCACCCTCAACCCTCACTCCCCACCCACTGTCCTCATCCATAGGTGCACGATTTTTGTCCAGTCTCTTCCTGCATCTCCCACACCCCTTTCCCCCCCAAGAATAGTCAGTCCATAACCTTTCTATGTCCCTGATTCTATTATGATCACCAGATTATTTGTTCACTTGATTCTTAGATTCACTTGTTGATAGATGCATGTTTGTTGTTCATAATTTGTATCTTTACCTTTTTCTTCTTCTTCTTCCTCTTCTTAAAGGATACCTTTCAGCATTTCATATAATACTGGTTTCGTGGTGATGAACTCCTTTAGCTTTTCCTTATCTGTGAAGCTCTTTATCTGACCTTCAGTTCTGAATGATAGCTTTGCTGGATAAAGTAATCTTGGTTGTAGGTTCTTGGTATTCATCACTTTGAATATTTCTTGCCATTCCCTTCTGGCCTGCAAAGTTTCTGTTGAGAAATCAGCTGACAGTCGTATGGGTATTCCCTTGTAGGTAACTGAGTTTCTTTCTCTTGCTGCTTTTAGGATTTTCTCTTTGTCTTTTGCTCTTGGCATTTTAATTATGATGTGTCTTGGTGTGGTCCTCTTTGGATTCCTTTTGTTTGGGGTTCTCCGTGCTTCTTGGACCTGTAAGTCCATTTCTTTCACCAGGTGGGGGAAGTTTTCTGTCATTATTTCTTCAAATAGGTTTTCAATATCTTGCTCTCTCTCATCTTCTGGCACCCCTATAATTCTGATGTTGGTACGCTTGAAGCTGTCCAAGAGGCTCCTTACACTATCTTCGTATTTTCGTATTCTTTTTTCATTTTGCTTTTCCAGTTGGGTGTTTTTTGCTTCTTCGCATTTCAAATCTTTGACTTGATCCTTGCGCTCCTCTGGTCTGCTGCTGGGAGTCTGTATAGTATTCTTTATTTCAGTCAGTGTATGCTTAATTTCTAGTTGGTTCTTTATCATAACATCGAGGGTCTCATTAGATTTCTTGTAGATCTCATTAAGTTTATCGGCAGCTTCTAGACAGTTCTTGAGAGACCTTAAAAGTGTGGTTCTGAACTCTATATCTTCCATTGACAATTTTGTCCTGTTTCTTTGTCTCCGCATTTTTTTAATGCTTTCTTGGTGCACCCCCTAGTGGTCTTTGTGCGCAGTCTTGTAGTTAAGCCTTGATTGTTGTAGTTAATACTGGGGGGATTTGACCTCCAGGCCAACTGGCTATGAGAGTCAGCTGTGTCTGCAGTGGGAAAACTTCTGTCCTCTGGGGAGGTGCTAATCTAGCCTTTGCCTGAGGCTATCTGGCAAATGGCTCTGTGCAGGGCTTGGGCGGGGCGGGTCGAACTGGATCAAACAGGGCGGGCTGAGCGAGCAGTTATGGCTGCTCTCAGTTCCGTCCCTAGGGGCTCTGCCTCACAGAGTCCCAGCAACCGCTGCAAACCTCGGAGAGAAAGCTGTCTTCGAGTTCCGACCAAAGCCAGACAGTCCTGCTTCTCCCGTTTGAGTCTGGGTCCCTAGAGACTCGCCTGGATCTGGAGCTCAGAGTCTGAAACTCCCTCCCGATTGAAAACAACAACCGCGCCCTCCGCCGCCAGCCCGCTCCGCGCGCGCACTCTGCACCTGAGTATTTCACTTCAGCACTGCGCCTCCTCTGAGTCTGGGTATGATATTCTCTTTTCTCATAGTTGTAGAATTTCCACTCAGCCAGCCTTCCTGTGGTTCTGGATGATGTTCGTTCCGTCTTTTAGGTGTACCCTTGAATTGGTTGTTCGAGGCAGCAATCTCCGGTGTTAACCTATGCCGCCATCTTGGTTTCTCCCATGTGTCTTTCTGTTTATTACATACTTGTATGATAGTAGAAGATGGGCTGTATAGAGTTAACAATATCTGAATTGGTTAAATAATTCATGTTACCTAGAGAATTTGTTTTTGGTTAATGATAATTATTCTTATTAACATCATAACGTAACAACATAACATAACATAACATAACATAACATAACATAACATAACATAACATAACAACCTGACATGTATAATGTGGCATGATAGATATTAGTTCAATCGGTCCTCTTCCTTCTCCACTGGTGATTTTTGGAAGTAAATTTTGCAGAAGCAGCTCTAACCTTCTTTCACAGCCTCTTTGTCCAGTGATTGAAGCAGCTCACTTCGCTTGGCCTGGTTTCCTGTTAGGGCAAAGGCATAGGCCAATAATGCCTTGGTGTAGACAAGACTTCCTTGGGCTTCTGAAGTGGATGCCCATGCCCTTTCCAAGCAGAATAGAGCATTGCAGACCACTGGGTGCTATAAAGAAGATGAGAGGAGATCTTAACACCTTGCAGACGGGTCACAAGAATTCTGTTTCCTGTTCTAAAGCTTGTGGCCCATCACTTATCTGGCCCCTGGGTAAATCTGGCAACAAAACTACTGGTCCGCAATGTGTTAAGATAGCAGGACCAGGTTAATGCACTGTCTCCAGGCTAATTCCTGATTAAAAGCCCCAACATGCCTGTACAACCTCATAGATCAAACCAGAGAATAATTTCCTCTACAGCTTCCAAAAGGATGTAGTCCTTTATGTTCCAGAGAAATGTACCAAATTTAAACAACACAAAAAACTAAAACTCATTTCTTTAGAGTCTCATGACTTTTTTTTTCTTACATTTGTGAGAGGCAGGTACAGGGAATGTGCTAGTACATACAGTGACAGGCAGTGGCATCTCCAGCAGAGCAATGGTGATGTAGGCAGAGAGCGTCACCTCATCATCTATTCCACCCTGTAAGGATCAGAGGCAGAGATACTAAAACACTCCAATATTCATCAGCCAGGGTTGGCTAAGTCTACATTTCCCTGTGGGCATCTTAACTAAAAAGCATCTTTTCTTGAGTAGTAGTATTGATTTTCCTCTTTCTTCCTCCACCCTAAAATTCTTGAATCTGTCCCAAATCCCTTTCCCTCACTTTTAGTAATATATTGTTGTTGTTGTTGTTTTCTCCACACTATTTTCATTCAATAAAAAAATGGCTAATTAATTGCTAGATATCAGATGCTTTAGAGTCTACCATCCTCCCTCAAAGCTATGTCACCAGGACTTGAGGAAATCAATAGGAGCATCATTGCTCTGACATATCACCATCTTTAGGAATCGGAAAAATGTTAAAAATATCACCTTAATAGCATTGTTTAGCAGTGATCCAGAGCGCTGGAAACAGCCATTTTCCTTTTGCTTCTGTGAGAGCCAGGTGAGGGAATTCGTGATGTGTGAGTCCTCCACAAAGATGTGTGACCGGGCTTGAGAAAAGGCCTTAAGCAGAAATGCAGTGAGCCTGTCCAGCAAAGAAGAAAATGAGACATGAGGGCAAGCTCACTTTGTGCACTGCCTCCAGACACTGATGTTCATAATTCAGTGAAGGAAATTACTGGGGGGAACGGGTGGGAAAATGATACTAGAATACTGAATATTCTCTTCTTTGCCCAACAAATAGCTGAGTCTCTTTTGTAATTCTGTCAATTTTATTTGTTTCTCCAGAGTTTATACTTTTCACTTTTTTTTCCCTCACTAAGTGTTTGTGCAGCCTCCAAGACTTCCCACTACCAAAACTTCCATTTTCTTTTTTTAAAATATATTTTTATTGGTTTCAGAGAGGAAGGGAGAGGGAGAGAGAGGTAGAAACATCAAGGATGAGAGAAAATCATTGATTGGCTGCATCCTGCACACCCCACACTGGGGATTGAGACCACAACCTGGGCATGTGCCCTGACTGGGAATCGAACTGTGATCTCCTGGTTCATAGGTTGATGCCCAACCACTGAGCAACACTGGCCTGGCAGAAAACTTCCATTTTCTGAATGCGTTTACTACATCACAATCTCCTTCTGTGCTTTCCAGGCTCCCTTTTCTTATTGTATGATGTAGAAGCTTCTTCCTTGATTATTTCACATTATGACACTTTCTGCCTTATATTTCCATTTTGGGGGAACATTATTTTATTGGTGTCTACAATGCTATCAGAGCAGGTAAGCTTTCACAGATGAATGGTGAGATCACCCAGTCTGATGACACCCATATGGGTTTTTAAAGCATAACAGATTTCCATAAAAGAACTCCAAGTATCAGAGAATATTATTTCCATAATTCTGAAATATTATGGTCTACAAAGAGCATATGGAAATAATTATCTTACCAAGTGTTTCCATGACTTGTACCACCACGATCCCCAAAGGTACTGTATGAACCATCGTTGTGCTTATAATTCAACTGTTGTTGGTACCCTGAAGAAGTTTGCATAGACTTATGAAATAGCAGAGACATTGGAGAAATAATCAGTATTTTCCTCAAAACTCATTGAGCAGTCATAGAAAAACTGCTACTTTATTAAGATACTAGAGGCCTGGTGCATGAAATTGGTGCACTGGAGGTGGGGGCTCTCAGCCTGGCCTGCACCCTCTGGCAGTCCAGAAGCCCTCAGGGGATATGCAACTGAAGGTTTAGGCCTGCTCCCCTGAGCTGGGCTCAGGACTTCTGGCTGAGCAGCACTCCCCCTTTCAGAGTGCACTGACCTCCAGGGGGCAGCTCCTGCATTGAGCGTCTACCCCCTGGTGGTCAGTGCACATCATAGCGACTGGACATTCCCCACTTTGGTTGATTTGCATATTAGCCTTTTATTATATAGGATCTCCAAGAATTGATGATGCTATTGAATTTTCTGATTGTATAGTGGGATATTTTATTGGATATCACAGCAGAAATAATTATTAAATCTTAACCAAAGGGATGCTGTTTTGAACTCACTGTAGGATATATTTAGGAACTCAATTAAAGATTCTCCTACTGGGAGTAATCTCTTACCACTGATAAGATGGCTGATGGCTTTGGACTTGATTTTTTCTGTCAGCTGTCGTGTCTCATTCAGATAGTTCAAAACATAGATGTTAGGGACAAAAAGAACCATATTCTGCTCTCCACAACCATAGGGCATCTGGAGAAGATTCTGAAGATTCTGCATTGCAAAGCCTAGTATATCACCTAGGGAATGAAAGATATAGAAAAATCAGAGGAACTTGGAGTTGGTTTATGTTGGGATAGGAAGATAGAAACTAGCTAAGTGAGAGGTCGACTCACTTATGGAGGTGAAGCCAAGATAGCATAGGAGATGCAAAAATCGGAAGAAAAGAGAAAAGTGGTAAAAGTAAAGTAAATGGCTCAAGGGTGGGAAAAAAACACAAGGAAAAAACTGAATGGTATGTCTGATAAGAAACAGCTAGATTCAAATATATTAGGAAGCATCACTACATATTCAATCCTTTGAAGATGAGGACACAGAGAGGTGACCCTTCTTATTTTCTAGAGTACATCCAAATATATCATAACATCTATGCAAACCCTTTTCTGATGAATACACAATGCAATTCTTAGCTTAGTGCTCTTTCTCTCAATCCAGTGACTAGAGTAAGTGATCTCATTCACCATGGATGGTGAGGCCCCATGCACTAGAATTGTAGTGGTAGACATCTGCTTCCTTTGGTCTGGGAGACTCACCCAAAACTGAATACGTTGCTCTGGCAGAGCCTTCGACCATGTTTGAAGGAACTTTTAGTGACAACTTTTCAGGTACTCCAGTTGCTAATGAAAAAAGACAAATACATATAAGGGCAGGGGAAACAAACAAGAGAAATGTTCTATTTTTGTTTGAATATTTTTTCTCTATGTGATGAAGATCCAACTTCTCATTTCTCTTGGTTCTTTTATAATTTCCTTGATGCAATCCAAGTTTCTCCTAAAGCAATGATTCATCCCATAGTATAGTTCCGATTAATCATATCTATTGGTGTTAAATTTCCATAGATTTTCTATGCGCATACTTTATGATATACTTATTTCTTTCTCTTCATTGTTTATGTTAATTTCTAATATCATTAGTCTTTTAAAAAATCACATTTATTCTATAAATATGTATAAAGTGTGTGCTATGTATAGGTTCTGTTTTAAGTGCAATGATATAGTAATTTTCAAAACAGATTTCCTGACTTCCTGGAATTTTCATTTTTATGAGAGAAATAAGATAACAAGTCAATATATAGAATAATAGAAGTTAAGTTTCATAGAGCAAGTTAAAGCAGAGTGAGTATTTAAATGGGAAAGCTAGTAAGAGAAGGCCAGTCAGGAAGACCAGGCTGGGGTGAGCAGGCCCTCCACTAAAAAGCTCATTGATAAAACAATCATAGGTGACTTGAGACTTTAGGTAAGTCAGGGAGTAAGACTGATAGATATCTGGGGAAGAGACTTCCAAGAAAAAGGAACAAAAAGTGAAAAGACTCCAGAGATTAGAGCATGCTGAATGTGCTCCAAGAGCAGATTATCTCTAAAGTTCTTAAGATGATTGTTTAAATAAAAAACATGAATGCACTTAAGCTATTAGCTGAATAATAAACAGTATTGATGCCACAGGGATATTTCAGAATTTTGAAAATGGAGAGCAGTTTGGGAAACACAGTTTTGTTTGGAAGGAATCCTGCCCCACAGTCATCAGCTTTTGTCTTTATTATTAGCCAATATCTTTTAGGTCATTTAATTTCTCTATGTCTTCAGTAGGAAAAGGCTGTTCTTTATCAAATATCCTTAGGTTTGTACATGGGAAAGTATACAATATTTTTTTCTCCCAGAAGACAACATGCCTCAGTGGTCATTTTATAACTATATACTTTGACAAGTGGTGACACATGAGAACTTGGTCTATTTTGGATACTTATCTGGTGCACAGAGGAGTGTGTTGAAAGTTTCCTCCTTTTCTATTCCCTCAGGCTTTATATTGAAAAAAAGAATAAAACATAAAGTGACACTGAATGTAGAAGAGAAAAATCAGTCACTTGTATGTAGAGTAAAAAATTGAGTTGTGGATACATCTGTATTTGGGTCATTAAATGTCACTGTCACATACATAGTAGATAATGTCTGTGAGAAAGTACCCCTGCCTACCTCAACCAATAAGGGCTTGATTACAGTATCCTTTTGTCCAAACATTGAGACTTTAGGCACCTCATTGCCGCACAATTCCTGAGACTGTAGGACTTCTGCAGTCGCTGTGAAATTCACCTTCCCTGAGGAATAAGATTCAAAAGGAGTTAATACAGTGATTCTATATTGAATGGTCTTTTCTCTTTTTTAATTTTCTCAATATATTTAATCATTTTCTTTCAACCGATCATTGTTAGAGGAGAAAAAATACATATATTTGGGTCAGAGAGGAAAGCAAATCATTATCACTCACCCAGTGACTTGAGGGTCACAGCTCAGGACACAGTTTTCTGCCCATTTCCACAGATACAGTGAGATTCTTCATTCTTCTCTACTGGGACAGCCAAGAAGGCAGGAGAGTCCTCTAGCTCCATGCTAACCTGTCCCCCATACTCACCCACAAGTTTGAGAAAGAACACAGGCAGAGGGTCAGTAACAGGGGACTGGAACTTCAAGGGACAATGCATACTAATTGAGAGGCTTTGAGAAATTGTTCAACCAGGGTGCAGCCTGTCAAACATTTTGTAGTTTAAATGTTTGCAATAAAGGAATTGAAAAACTGACATGAATTAGGATAAATGCCCACACAAGGAAGAAATATTTTCCTCAGAGTGAAAACATGAAATAGTCAGATGGAAATGATATCTGAAATTAAGACTACACAGATAATATAGAGTCCCAAATGAGTACAATCTTACCACCTTGGACCTGTCAGGTAGTTTTGCTCTGAGAACCCATTCCATTCCAAAATTAAGTTGCATCATATGCAATTATGATTTACAAGAATTCCTCGGACACCTAGGTAGTGAATGGTGATTGTGTCCCTTCCTTCTACTTTTGCTCACCTGTAGAGAAGTGCCCTTACCCGAATGCAGTGGGACAAATAGTTGAACACAGTGGCTTTGAGGGTAAAGGCTTCTCCTCGCACGACAGAGTAAGGGAGCGTGAGTTCTAGGAAGAAGGGCTGGAAGACTTGAAGAGAGATGATGGGGGAGAGGCCAAGTCCTGTTTTGTTCCAGACAAGCAGAGTGCGCTGGCCTTCCACTTTGTGATTGTATCAGGGACCTTGATTGCCAACTCACTGCTACCTGATGAACTAATGAAAAGAAAAAGAGGAAGAGAGTGGGCGAGTCTCTCTCTCCCCCTCCCCACTCCCTCCAGCTCTTTTTCTTTTTGTGGCATAGATCATAGCTGATCCTACAGCATGGTAGCTTCGTAGCCTAGTGTGGTAAATGTTAAACTTTATATAAGATTTTTCACTATTAATGAAGTCTCTGAAAGTTTTCCTTTTCCTTTTAGGGGAGAGACTAGCTTCCTGTTTTCTATGATTTTAAGTACCTCAAGACTAAATTAGAAAAAAAGTTGCATTGTTTCACTATAAGATAAATTAACTATGAATCTAATTATTTACCATAAAGGAGTGGAACAGAACTGAAAGGATCAGGATCACGGGATAACAGCAGAATCATAGAGGAGAATGCTCCTAAACTAAGTTCCAGGCAACACACAACTTACTCGAGTGGCACCAGGTCCCAGATCCAGGTCTCAGGGAAATACTTCCGGACCATCTCTTTCACGCCCTCAGCTGGACGGTGGTTTCTCCTCTCTTGGTGAAGTGCAGGTCTTTCTTCTCTAAGTTCTTCCCCTATGAAAAGACAACATGGAGAGCCCAATGTGAACCTCATTTTTATCATTAACTTTTTATAGTTGCCTTATTTATCCAGAGAAATAAGGTCAGTTGCTCAGTGAATGTTTATTATTGGAACAACTAAACCTTACCAGCTTGTTACTTACATAGGAAGGCTAATTCTTTTACTTCTTCAATCTAGAGGTAAATACATTTTTCCCTAGAAATAAAAACAAACATAGCTCTTCTTAAGCTGATCATTGAAGTGGTGGAGAGAAGAATAAAGAGCAATTTAATATACAAAGTAGTGTTTTTATACTAAAATGGTGATTGCCGGGAGCCGGTCCATGCTTGCTGTTTCAAGGGACCTGGCATATATGGCATACTGTTTTTAATATGTTTGCTCACCTTCTTGGCACTATGTGTTTTAACCAAGGTCTCTGAGAAAGGTTGTTTCCCCAGGTAGGGATTTTCCCCTGAAGTAAGGGAGGGAATAAAACCTCTTAACTAAGTGCCAGGCGGGTAATTAATCACTTTAACTACGAGCAATCATGCTTAAGCTACATAATCTTTACTCCCTGGAGTGGAGATGGGAAATGCCCTAACCTTTGTAATAGTGATTGATAGGATTGAATCAACTGGTATAAATACAGATGTAACAAGACAGCAGAACACAGAACTTAGAATACGGAACCAGGAGAGACGGAACCTAGGCACAGAACCTACACAGAACTAGAGACAGAAGAACTTCGCTGGAGAGAACATGGCAAAAGATCCTGGACTGAACCTGACTACAGAAATGGGCAAGAGAACCTGACTAGAACCTGGTGACTGAATCTGGCTGGAGACCCTGGACTGAACCTGGCTGGAGAACCTAGCAAGACAACATGGACACAGAACCTGGCTGGAGATCCTAAGCAGAACTTCGCTGGAGATCCAGACCAGAACTTGGCTGGAGATCTTGGCTAGAGATCCTGGCTAGGCTGCTGATCAACTGAACACTGTCTCCGTGTCCTTCCTTCTTCACCGACTCCATCCACACCTTTGGGGACCCCTGGACCCGCTGGGGTTGGACCCCAGCAGGTGATCACGTGTTTTCCTTTTGTGGTGAGACTCAAACTAGAGAAATGGATAGTAGCTACTCCAAGAGGATTTTAGGAATGATTTTTTAGTTAACAGTGAATGAGATATGGAGAAATTAAAAATAGGATATAGAACAGTATGTATTTTGTCAACAGAGACTCAATAAAGGACAGAAAATGAGCATTATATTGACCAGAAAAGGCTTTTCCAAAGCAGACTTTAAGGTGATTATTGAAGGATGAGAAACAGAATGGAGAAGGCATTTCAAGGAAATGTCTATCCAAGTATGCACACAAAGATTGGAAGGGCTGCTCCAAAACACTTACCCCTCTGGAATAGCATGTCTATTTGGGGGGGTTTGTTTAACTTAGCTGAGTAAACAGTAGATATAATCCTATCTAATAAAAGAGAAACATGGTAATTGGCATACGACCGCTACCCTTCCCATTGGCTAATCAGGGCGATATGCAAATTAACTTCCAGCCAAGATGGCGGCCAGCAGCCAGGCAGCTTAAACTGAACATGAGGCTTGCTTGCTTCAGTGACAGAGGACTGCAGCGTTCCCCGCCTACCTTGTCGGCCTCTGAGCTTGCAGTTTAAAAAACATTGTAACAAATATAGAAGCTAAACAAAACCCCAGAAACCAGCTTTCAGAGAGCTGGGATCTCAGAGCTGGAGTTGATACAGAGTTTCGATTATAGAACCGAAACAAACCAGATACCTGTTTTCAGCAGCTGAGGCCTCAGAGCTGGAGCCAAGCCTCAGAGCTAAGCTGGCCCAGAATAAAAAAAGAAAAAAGAAAAAAAGGAGCAGTTGGGAGCTTCAGTCCCAGCCTGAAAACAGTCCTCAGCCCCTCACCCAGACTGGCCAGGCACCCCAGTGGGAACCCCTACCCTGAAGGGTGTGTGACCAGCTGCAAACAGCCATCATCCCCTCATCCAGGCTGGCCAGGCACCCCAGTGGGGACCCCCACCCTGATCCAGGACACCCTTCAGGGAAAACCAGCTGGCCACCACCCATGCACCAGGCCTCTATCTTATATAGTAAAAGGGTAATATGCCTCCCAGCACCGGTATCAGCAGATTCTCTAGTTTTCTTGTGCTTTTCTGCCAACCTGAAATAACTTTGGCTAATCATATCTATTTATTCTTATTTATAATTTGATATGAAATAAATGAAAATAATATAAAATTTATAATATGCCACTAAGATGAGGAAGTTAGTTATATAATGCCAATTCAAAGATTAATACTATAAAACAAAACTTGAATTTCTTATATGAAAGAAAAAACCATACCCAGATATCTTGAATTTATTATATGAAAGAAAATTGATAGATTACTAAATTGGATATTGGGCCTAAAATTTACCAATATTGAGCCTTGAAACTGAAAAACTTAAAAAAAACTATCAATAATTTGAAGAATTTAATTATTTAGATGAGAGACTTTTTTTTTCTATAAAAGATTATGTTGCAACATCATCCTATATAATAAAAGCCTAATATGCTAAGTGTCCAACCGTTCATTTAACCGTTCAACCAGTCGCTATGACATGCACTGACCACCAGGGGGCAGATGCTCTGACCGGTAGATTAGCATGCTGCTAGGGTCTGGCCAATTGGGACTGGGCCAGACAGGCCGGGCATGCTATGAAGCCCTCCCACGGTTCCTCCCCGGCCCCCATCATGCACCGGTGGGGTCCCTCAGCCTGGCCTGCACCCTCTCGCAATCTGGTACCCCTTGGGGGATGTTGGAGAGCCAGTTTCAGCCCGATCCCCAAAGAGCAGGCCAAGGGACCCCACCAGTGTACAAATCCATGCACCGGGCCTCTAGTTGTTTATTGATAAAGAGGCAATCAAAGAATATGCAGCCGAACTACTCAACAAAAGTGAATTATGGAGGTGCGTTAGGAAGCTATTTAATAAAAATGCTTAATTTTCTGGATTTTGTATGACATTTGCTTTTTAAAGTTATGATTTGATGTAATTTATTTTCTTACTGTAAATAAATATTCATTTTCATAATAAATTTTTTGAATAAAAACTTATTAAAAGCCATGTCTCCCAAACTGTGATTATATTGAAAGGATATTTTACCTGTCCAAAGATAGGGAGCCCAGGTCTGTAATATGAATCAATTTTTGTAAATACCAGTTTGCTTAAGGTATTTGTGATTTCACATGATCCATGCCCAGTTAATTCCAACCCTGAAAAAAAAAATAGGTGCAGTTGAACAGTTCTATGTAATCAACTTACCTCCTACCTTTATCCCAGCTCCACTCCATCATAACAAAATACCATCCATATCCTTTTTCTGATTCTTTCCACAGTTTCACACACTTAGAAAATACAAATAATTTGACATTAACTCCACCTTTATATAAAAAAGTTTACTGGCATCCATAATTCTCCAGTTCCTCTTGCTTCACAAGTACTCTACTTGTTCCACTTTTGTTCTTAAGTTTTTTCATCCTCTGTGATTTTGTCTCTCTCATATCCCTGCCCTCTCCCATGACTTTTTGCATAAAACGTAATTCTTCACATTGGCTTAAAAATATACTTAAATTTGTTACACAAACAACTTCTCCAGCAAGATCCTTCTTTTCACTCAAAGGCCTATCCAAGGCATAACCAACACCTGTTGCTTTTCCACTCAATCTGTATTTTGTCTTCAACATTGGACCACTTTATCAAAATCTAAAAGACCCCCCATTTACTTCCAATATAGCAGTCTCATTTCAGACTTAATATAATGAATCTTAGAAGTGATTCATACATAATAATTATAATTAAAATTCTATTAGTGACTTCTAAGAAATAGTATTTTTATTTTTCCCTCTATCCTTCTGACTTCTAACTTTATTATGCTGACTTATTTGTACTCTCTTTTAACTACATAGTAGTCCCCCTTATTTGTGAGGATATGTTTCAAGACCCCCAGTGGATGCCTGCAGCCACAAATAGTACCCAACCTTATACAGTATACTATGTGTTTCCCATGAATACTTACCTATGATAAAGTTTAATTTATAAATTATGTGTGCAATTTAAAACTTATGAATTATTTGTGTCTGAAAATTTCCATTTAATATTTTTGGACCACGATTGACCATGGTAACCTGAACTGTACTTGTTTCTTTTGTGGGATCCTCCTTGTTCATGTTTAGCCTCAATTTAGCAATAGTAAGTGAGCTCACTTTCAGAACAATTGCACTTACTCTTAGGAGGATTTGGACACAATGGGAATGGTTTCAGATTTGCATTTCTTATCTTGATTTTGCTTTGGTTTTCTTCTTAAATTATGTACTGAATGAATCCACTTCCATTTTGATATTCCAAAATATAATACATTATCTTGGACACATTCTCATCACCACACTTTTTTCCTATCTGCTCCTTTTTTTGGTTAATGCCATTTCCATTTTCTAGGACCTAAATTTGTAATAATTGGGGTTATCTTTGAATAATGTTTTGATACTAGAGGCCCCGTGCATGAAATTTGAGCATGGTGGAGGGGTCTTTCAGCCTGGCCTGTGCCCTCTCACAATCTGGGAACCCTTGGGGAATGTCCAACTGCTGGTTTAGGCCCGATACTAGCCTGGTCTGTGGGGATTGGGCCTAAACCAGCAGTCGGACATCTCCCGAGGGGTGTAGCAATGTGCCAAGTGGCAGGCGGCCAGTGAGGAGCCCAAACTGGGGCTGGGTGCCATGCTGCTCATGTTCATCCCGGCCTGCTGTGCCTGCTGCCGCTGCTCAGTAGTGCTGCTGCTGCCGTAGCTGCCCACGCCAGCCATGAGCCTGGCTTCTGGATGAGTGGTGCTCCCCTGTGGGAGTGCACTGACCACCGGGGGGCAGCTCCTCCATTGAGCATCTGCCCCCTGGTGGTCAGGGCACATCATAGTCACTGGTCAACTGGTCATCCTGGTCGTTCTGTCATAACAGTCACTTAGGCTTTTATCTAATAATGGACAAACATGGTAATTGACCATACCTTCGCTACACCTCCCACTGGCTAATCAGTGAAATATGATTTGTTGGTGGTTAATTTGCATACTGCAGGCAGGGCCGATAGCGCGAGCACCCAGCATGAGCCACCATCCAGGCCCCCGTGGGCGACCCCAGAAGCGGCCTGCCTGCCGCCTGTGACTGGATCTGGTCCCGGGCCGCAGGCTGGCCCCGGAAGCCCCAGAAGCTGCCTGCTGCCACCTGTGATTGGATCCGATCCTGGGCCACAGGCCAGCCTCGGAAGCCCCAGAAGCCACCTGATATGGTAACTCTATCAGTAACTCTATCAGTAAGCACTCTGAAAGTCAGTGGCATAAATGCACCAATTAAAAGATTATGAGGGTGAATCAAAAACCAAACCCACTTTAAATATAAAGACACATATAGATTAAAAGTAAATGAATTAAGCTGCAGCCCGTTTTGCTCAGTGGATAGAGCATTAGCCCATGGTCTGAAGGGTCCCAGGTTCAATTCAGGTCAAGGGCATGTACCTTAGTTGCTGGCTTGATCCCAAGTCCCTATTAGAGCATGTGCAGGAGGCAACCAATCAATGTGTCTATCCCTTTCCCTTCACTCTCTCTAAAATTCAATGGAAAAATATCCTTTGGAGAAGATTAACAAAAACACAGTAAATGGATTAAGTAACATTAAAGAGCTCATAAGAAAAATATATTCTAAATTTTGTTAGTTGTATAATGGTTATGTTTAAATTATTAACACCTAAGAAATTGGGTGAAGGGTACATATAATATGCTGTAGTATTTTATAGGTTTTTTTTACATGTATGAGATTATTTCAAATTAAAATATTAAAAAATTAAAAATTAATAAAATAGTAATTGAAATGTTTCTGCATTACATGAAAAATCTCCTAATTGCTTCTAGCATAATTTATTAAATTGTGCTAAAATTTACAAGGGTTCAATTAAAAAATATCTTAATTCTAAATGATATAATAGAAAATATTTAATAGTGCAGTTATAAGCACTTATCTGTAAATAAAAAGTTTAAAAAGTGAATTTAAAGAAGGGATTAGCCAAAGAAAATATATGCTCAACCCATGGACACAGACAACAGTATGGTGATGGCCAGAGAGAAGTGTGGGGTAAGAGCTGGGTAGAGGGGGAAAAGGGGGGAAATAGGGACATCCTATATCTAATCTAATAATAGACAAACATGGTAATTGGCCATACCTTCGCTACACTTCCCATTGGCTAATCAGCAGGATATGTAAAATAACCCAACCAAGATGGCGGCAGGCAGCCACGCAGCTGAAGCGAACAGGAGGCTTGCTTGCTCCAGTGATGGAGGAAGCCAAGCTTCCTCCCTGATGCAGCCGGGCTCTGAGCTCCACTCTAAGCAACAATGTTGCAATTATAGAAGGTAAACAAACCCCAGATACCTGCTTTCAGCAGGCCATGGCCTCGGAGCTGAAGCAGCACCAAAGTTTCAATTATAGAAGATAAATAAATCCCAGAATAAAAAAAAAAGAAAAAAAGGAGAGGCTGGGAGCTTCAGTCACTGGCTTGGCCAGCCTGAAAACAGCCCTCAGCCCCTCATCCAGGCTGGCCAGGCACCCCAGTGGGGACCCCCACCCTGAAGGGGGTGTGACCAGCTGCAAACAGCCATCAGCCCCTCAACCAGGCTGGCCAGGTACCCAAGCGGGACCCCCACCCTGATCCGGGACACTCTTCAGGGCAAACCAGCTGGCTCCCACCCGTGCACCAGGCCTCTATCCTATATAGTAAAAGGGTAATATGCAAACTGACCCTAACAGCAGAAAGACTGGGAATGACTGGTCACTATGACACACACTGACCACCAGGGGGTAGACGCTCAATGCAGGAGCTGCCCTCTGGTGGTCAGTGAGCTCCCACATGGAGGAGCTCTGCTCAGCCACAAGCCAGGCTGATGGCTACCAGTACAGCGGTGGTGGTGGGAGCCTCTCCAGCCTCCTCAGGTCCAACTGCAGCTTAGGTCTGCTCCCTGCTGGCAAGTGGACATCCCCCAAGGGTTGCTGGGCTGCCAGAGGGATGTCTGATTGCCAGCTTAGGCCCAATCCCCCAGGAACAGGCCTAAGCCAGCAGGTGGTCATCCCCCAAGGGGTCCCAGACTGCGAAAGGTCACAGGCCAGGCTGAGGGACCCTCCCCCCACCCCCGGCCCAGTGCATAAATTTTTGTGCACCAGGCCTCTAGTAATAATAATAAAAGGCTAATATGCAAATTGACTGAACAGCAAAATGGCCTGTTGCTATGATGCACACTGGCCACCAGGGAGCAGACTCTCAATGCAGGAGCTGCCCCCTGGTGGTCAGTGCACTTCCATATGGGGAGTGCCACTCAGCCAGAAGCTGGCTTATGGCTGGCCAGCGCAGAGGTGGTGGCAGGAGCCTCTCCCACCTCCGTGGCAGCACTAAGAATGTCCAACTAACAATTTAGGCCTGATCCCTTGGCGGCCTAAGCCTTTAGTCAGACATTCCCCGAAGGCTCCCTGGCTGCCAGAAGGATCTCTGACTGCAAGCTTAGGCATGATCCCCCGGAGAGTGGGCTTAAGTCAACAGGTGAATGTCCCCCAAGGGGTCCTGGACTGCAAATGGGCACAGGCCGGGCTGAGGGAACCCCCTTCGAGTGCACAAATTTTTGTGCACCGGGCCTCTAGTGTATATATATATATAACACATTTTTCATCTAGCATGTCCTATTCTTGTTGGTTAGAATTATCTTTTAAAAATATCCCCTTATTAAGGTCATTCTCCTGACATATATCTAAAGTTATCCAATGCTTTTAATAATAAACTCTAACTTCTTTAGTATATGATTTATTTTCTACACACGTTAGCACCAACCTACATTTCCAGATTCTTCTGAGACCAAACACATTTGTGTTATGCTTACCATACTTTCCCCACTCATCACTATCTTTCAAGATATTATTCATTCTATACAAATCAGCTCAAATCAGCTTTCTTTGGCTTTGGGTTAGAATTATTTCTCTTCATACTCATTTATCCCTTATATTTTGCATTTCTGATAGTAATTTTATTAAGGTTATACATCTATACAAATATACATATATACATATAGACATATGTAATTTCTTTTAAGATTTTTAATTACTTGCAGGCAGGAATCATGTTATTTTCATTGACCCAGAAATAATAAAGTGTTTTACATGGAATGGGATTTTGATAAATGTATAAAAATTAATAATTTTATGAATTAATATTTTAAAATAATACAAACCTGTTCCCTCTTCTCTGACCTTGGCTTCCACGTTTAATTTCATGTCATACCCGCTTAGTCTCAGCTGAAATAATTTAGTCTTGATGACTTGTCTGAAACAGCCTTTACTGTCTGCCTGAAGAAAAAAGGAAGATAATTCCTGGGTTCTCTGACTTGCTATCAAAAGATATCAACCTATGAAAATTGTTGGCTATTGAAGAACATTTTACAAATGTTATGACCATCTTTTAGTTGCTGACCCTTTCTCAATCCCCAAAATGACATAAAATGTCTTCATTAATCATTCATTTTGTTGCTCTTGTCAATCGTTGTCTTCTTCCTTGTCTCCAAAGTCTATCCATTTTTTGTCATATTAAACTTTTTAGCGTGTCCAAATGTGATACAGTATTTTGTAATTCTTTTTTGGGGGGGCGTATATTGTTCCTTAAATGATAACATTCTTTCTCTCATTCTTATCTTAGAAGAACAGCAGTCCTTGCTCTTCTAAACTCAACCCTCAAATAACATCTAGGCAGCCTCTGTACTTACCTCCACCTAAATATCAGCTAAGGATTGTATTTTCTTAACTATACTTTCTCAATGTCTCAGACAGTAATAAAAACAAATGTATTCACCAAATAGATGAATTATTATAGTATAGTCATGCATCACTTAACAATGGGGATACATTAGAAGAAATGCATCTTTAGGTAGCTGTGCAAACATTGAGTGGAGTGTATGGAAACATACCTAAATGGCACAGCCTACTACACACCTAGGCTATATGGGATTGCCTATTACTCCTGGGCCACATGCCTGTACAGCATGTTACTGTGCAAAACTACACGAGGGTAAATCAAGCACAAGAGAAGGTGATGTAATCAAGAGAGACACAGTAAACATGACCTGTATGAGGCTGCTGCTGGCATGACATAGCATACTGCTCTACATCTATTTTTTTTTTTTAATAAGTAGAAATAGCACACTTTAAAATAACAACAAAGAGTATAGTAATCTATTTTAGCGACATGGAAGCACGCAACAGACTAAAGATCCTTAGAGGGAAGGCGGGGGGTGGGAGGGATAAGAGAATTAATATGCACATATGCATAACCAATGGACACAAACAATAGTGGGATGAAGGCTTGGGGAGGGGAACAGAAGTGGGGAGGAGGGGGAGTAAATGGGGAGAAAAGAGAAAATTTTTAATACTTTCAACAATAAAGATAAATTAAAAAAAAGATGAACATGGGAAAAAAGTAGTAAATATATACCAGCAACATGGTCATTTATTATCAAGTATTCTGTACTGTATCTAACTGTATGTGCTATACTTTTATACAACTGGCAGCATTAGGATTGTTTACACCAGCATTAACACAAACACATGAATAATGTGTTCCACTGTGACATTATGGAGAGAAGTGGACCAAGCCTGTCATTGACTGAAACATCATTATGCAGCACATTACTGTAATCAGATCTCCAAACTAAATATTGGAAGCCATGTTTTAATAAAGATTTGTTTTTATTTTTGTACTTACATAGAAATATTTATTGCAAAAGAACCTTTACTTATATTTAAGTATATATTGAGGCCATGATTCACTTGAAAATAAAAATTAATCTTAGTCTCTCTGGTATATTAAAGATTTTGACTGCTAGATTTATCTCATGCTTATATAGCCAATTTTGAATACTTTTACATCCTTTTATGCCCATATAACCATATGTTGGTTGCAGTTGGAAGAAAATTACAAAACTAGACAAATAAATATCACTATAAATCCATGAGCCTAACCCTCAAGTGGACTCCTAATGTTGCCATGCAATTATATGATGTTTCCCTTTATAAGTTTTCAAGGTGACTATTTCAAACATTGCTCTTTATTGTAATATATTCAGAATGCAATGTTCTATTGTTTTCTCCATTGTATTATTACCCAGGAGAAAACAAGATCTGATTTTGATATCCTGGGGAGAGTGGTTCCCATATACCTATTGACTGAATTTTTCACAGATACGTTGTGAGTATCTTCCATAGCAGGTGGAAGAGAATCGCAAATATTTTCTGCGTACATTGATCGTCACCAGAAGCAGGGACAGGCTTTCCATATGTGTATCAATAATGATAAAGCAGTCAATTAAAAATATTTAATATAAATAACTTTTTTGTTTTTCCTCATGATCTATCCGTCTTATTCATCTACAGCAATTATATTTCCTCCTCTAGGATTTGTATTTTAAAAGCACTTATTCTGAAACTATGTCATAATTATTTAAGTAAACATACATGTATATATCCAGGAGAAATATACTTACTGAATCTTTTGAAACACCTCCAAATGGAAAATTAACAATGTGCTATTTCTCAGATCATTCCTTCCCCTCAGTTGAGGTTTTCTTATAAGCCTATTTTATTTCTGCCTTTTTCTGCTGCCAGACAATCTAGGTTATGATTCCAGCTTTGGAAACACCTCCTAATTGTTATGTATCTTAAGAGGATAAATGAGAAATTAAATTGGAAAGCACTAGCTCTACAGCAAAAATATTATGAATGAAGAGTATCACAATGACTTAGTCTGATTCTGCCAAATCTGATGGCAGTATATAATGTGCCATGGTCTGAATGTTTGTGCCCCCCAAAGTATTTATATGTTGAAATCCTAACCCACAAAGAGGATAGTATTAGGGTATAAGGACTTTGGGAGGTGCTTAAATGAGGAGGTTGGAGTCTTTGTGAATGAGATTATTGCTTTTATAAAAGAAGCTCCAGAGAGATCCCTTCCACCAGGTGAGAACATGGCCACAAGGCACCAGCTATGAACCAAAAAGAGGACCTTCAGTAGACTATGCTGTCACTTTGATCCTGGATTTCCCAGTCTCTAGAACTGTGAGCAGTAAAGTTCTGTTGTTTATAAGCTACCCAACCTATAGTATTTTGGTATGGCAGCCTGAATGGGCTAAGACATGATGTGAAGTCAAACTTAGTTTATTGTTTCTCAAAGTATGCTTTATGGACCAACTACATTGAAGCTACCTGAGATATATATTGAGATTCAAAGTCTTGAATGTCTCCTCAGATTTATGTTTAGAATCTCTAGAGGTGAGGCCAAGAAATCTACATTTTAACTAAGCACCTCCATAGATTCTGATACACACAAGTTTGGAATCTATTGCATTAGTCCAAACTGTGAGGAAGGGGAGATTTGGCCTCAATGTCCCCAAACTTCTCTTTTTAAAAATAATTTTTCTCTCTCTGATTTTCACAAGTGCTAATCCTATCTAATAAAAGAGAAACATGGTAATTAGCGTACAACCGCTACCCTTCCCATTGGCTAATCAGGGTGATATGCAAATTAACTGCCAGCCAAGATGGCGGCCAGGAGCCCGGCAGCTTGAAACTAACAAGAGGCTTGCTTGCTTCAGTGACGGAGGACTGCAACGTTCCCCGCCTGCCTTGCCGGCCTCTGAGCTTGCAGTTTAAGAAACATTGTAACAAATATAGAAGCTAAACAAAACCCCAGAAACCTGCTTCCAGCGAGCCGGGATCTCAGAGCTGGAGTTATACATTGTTTCGATTATAGAACCGAAACAAACCAGACCTGCTTTCAGGAGTGGAGGCCTAACAGCTGGAGCCTCAGAGCTAAAACTGGCCCAGAATAAAAAAGAAAAAAAGAAAAAAAGGAGCAGTTGGGAGCTTCCGTCACCCGCCAGCCTGAAAACAGCCCTCAGCCCCTCACCCAGACTGGCCAGGCATCCCAGTGAGGACCCCCACCCTGAAGGGTGTGTGACCAGCTGCAAACAGCCATCATCCCCTCATCCAGGCTGGCCAGGCAACCCAGTGGGGACCCCCACCCTGAACCAGGACACCCTTCAGGGCAAACCAGCTGGCCCCCACATGTGCACCAGGCCTCTATCCTATATAGTAAAAGGGTAATATGCCTCCCAGCACCGGGATCAGCGGAGCCGCGAGGCCTCCCGGCACCGGGATCAGAGTGACAGGGGGCAGTGCCCAAACCCCCTGATCGCCCTGCGGCTCTGTGTGTGACAGGGGGTGGGGCCACAACCTCCCTATCAGCCCTGCTCTGTTCAGGACAGGGGAAGGCGCCCCAACCCCCTGATCAGCCTTGCTTTGTGCCTGATAGGGCACAAAGCTCCCCAACCCTCTGATCGCCCTGCAGCTCTCTGTGTGACAGGGTGCAGCGCCCCAACCCTCCTCCCCCCCCCCCCCCACACACGGGCCCTGCTCTGTGTGTGACGGGGTAGAGCCATAACCTCCCCATCAGCCCTGCCCTGAGTGTGACAGTGGCGGAGCCCCAACCCCCTGATCCGCCCTGCTCTGTGTGTGACAGGGGGCGGTGCCCCAACTCCCCTATCGGCCCTACTCTGTGAGTGACAGGGGGGAGCTCCCCAACCCCCTGATGGGCCCTGCTCTGTGCGTGATGGGGGGGGGGAGCTCCCCAACCCCCTGATCAACCCTGCTCCATGCGTGACAGGGTACGGAGCCCCAACCCCCCGATGGGCCCTGCTCTGTGAGTGACAGGGGGCAGCGCCCCAACCTCCTGATTGGCCCTGCTCTGTGCTTGACAGGGGGTGGCACCCCAACCTCCCCATCGACCCTGCCTTGAGTGTGACAGGGGGCAGTGCCCCAACCCCCCAATCAGCCCTACCTTGAGCGTGACTGAGGGTGGCATCGCAACCTCCCGATCCGCCCTGCTCTGTGCATGACAGGGGGCGGCACCCCAACTCCCCAATCGGCCCTGCTCTGAGCCCGACCAGGGGTTGCACCTAGGGATTGGGCCTGCCCTCTGCCACCCAGGAGCTGGCCTAAGCCAGCAGGTCGTTATCTCCCGAGGGGTCCCAGACTGTGAGAGGGTAGAGGCCGGGCTGAGGGACCCCCCTCTCCCCCCCCCCGAGTGCACAAATTTTTGTGTACCCGGCCTCTAGTAAAGTAATAAGTTATTTACTAAATTTCAATCACTTTGTTGAATCTTTAAGTCTGAATAAAAAGGTGTTCCTTCTGATGGAAAAATTTAAGGCATTGAAGGTGGTAAGAAGATTGAAAACATGTTCCTCATTCTGTTTTCAAAAACAAGAGTATCATGTTTCCTTGGCACATGTGGAGGATGCTCTACTCACTGAAAGGCAATCAGAAAAGTAATAACTATAACATGTATTTTGATTTCTACATTATATATCCAGCATTTAAGACAATGGGTCAGCTTACCTTCTAACTTATTTTTAAAAATATGGAATGCTTCACAAATTTGCGTGTCATCCTTACACAGGGGCCACGCTAATCTTCCCTGTATCGTTCCAATTTTAGTATACGTGCTGCCGAAGCACATATACTAACTTTTTATAGTATAAGAAATTTGGAGCAATAAAAAAAATGGAGATAATAGGACACAGAATAATACAGAAGTTATGAGCATGAGCTCCAGAGTTAAATAGCTTGGGGTCAATTTAGCATAGTGTCTGGGATCTATAAACGCTTCATGAAGCTAGATTTTTTTTTAATTGTAGGGATAATAGAGGACATTGGTGATGAGTTCAGAGTGTGCGGCCGGACTGTCGGATTTAAATTCCAGTCTGCCATTTACTACTCGTGGAAGCTTGAGCAAGTTTTTTTTTATATATACTTTATGTGTTATGGTTTTCTTATTTGTAAATTGAGGATAAGTATCCCCATCTCATAGGGTTCATATAAGACTACAAATGCTAATAAGTGCAAGAGATTTAAATCATTGTCTGGCACATTCTAAGTGTTCAGAAAAAGATTCTATTAGTAGTAAAAGTGTCATATGCTACCTCTCCTGCTCCCTAATCAGGGCTTAGGCAAGTTGGAGAGAGAGTCATTCCTTCTCTAGTTAAAATTCTTCAAAGTCCAGTAATAGTTATTTGGAATACCAATCGTGCAAGAAAATAGAAATGAGTTGAAAAGGAAACTCACAGGCCACATGCAGATACCACAAATGTTTCATCTAGAAAACCAATAGTCTTGGGCATTTTCACTTGGACTTCAAATTTGGGCAACACTGTTGTCAATAGAAGAACAAAAGAGATGAGAGTGGGCAGGAGATCTTGCAAGTGTAGTAATAATTCTATTACAGAATCTTACAGCAAGATCACATGAAATGATTTCAATTTGCAGCAACAGGGACACTGCTGAGAAAGGAGATGTCTTTCATAATCATGGGCAGTTTGTACCATGTTAACTTGGTTAAGCCAGTACTACATTTTCTAGAATCTCCTTGTCTGAATCTAGAACGATCAAGATTGAAAAGAAAAAAAAAAAATGCCTGAAGACCATCATGGTTAGATGTGGTAACAGGTAGAGTAAGGCCAGTAGGTTCCAATTTGTTCTTATTCTTTTCCTCTGTGTCCAGCTTTTCTTTCCAACTGCTAGCCTTGCTGACTAACACAGGCCTCAGACCTACTACCAGACACTTGGTTACAGAAACACTGAAGTGATAGATATTATTCTTCTATAAGTAAACAATAAATATAATAAGCAAACACATTATACAATATGTCAGTGGGGGACATGCAGGAGGCATCCAATCAACAATTCTCTGTCATCATTGATGTTTCTATCTCTCTGTCTCCTTTTCCTTTCCTCTCTGAAATCAATAAAAACATACTTTTAAAAAAGAAAAACAAACAATTTAAAATCAAAATAGATTAAGCCTCGCTCAAAATAGAATTACTGACCTAGATGATACGTATGAACTGAGAGCAAAAAAATTATGAGTTGAAAGGGATTTGAAAAGGAAATAATTTTGATGTTCAGAGAAAAATGATCCAAAATAAACATCACATGTGTCTCCCAAAGCATACTAACACATAGAAAAGATATTTTTAAGAATAAAGACACCACACTTTTAAATTGAAATTTAAATTGCTTTTATTTTTTATTTATTTATTTTTTAAATATATTTTATTGATTTTTTACAGAGAGGAAGGGAGAGAGATAGTCAGAAACATCGATGAGAGAGAAACATCGACCAGCCGCCTCCTGCACATCCCCCACCGGGGATGTGCCCACAACCCAGGTACATGCCCTTGACCGGAATCGAACCTGGGACCTTTCAGTCCGCAGGCTGACGCTCTATCCACTGAGCCAAACCGGTTTCGGCAAAATTTAAATTGCTTTTAAATCGAAAGATCATCTTTGAGTATAAAATAGTCAAAGGAATCCACAAATCCTTATTTTGCCTTCTATACAAAACGCCAAATCAAATGTGATATTATGGGAATTGGAATTCATTTCAGCTCTGCCTAAGGATGGAAACCTTTGTGTGCAAACAACCTTCAGGCACAAAGTAGTGCACTGCTCTCTCATGTCAGGATTTCCAAGAAATCCTGGGTGGTAGACACAACCTTTAGTTGATTTCCCTGTAAGACCTTTGGCTGAATTATTCAAAACAAACAAAAAATGATGAGCTGAGAAAGAAAAACTGTCACTCTGTCACTTGACTGAGTAAAAAAAAATCTTTAGGAATTTATCAAACATTTTTATAGTCACCATCACAATGCCAAGTTTATATTCTATTTTTCTAATCCAAATTCAGAAAGTGAAAAACAGAGTTTGAATGGAAGCCCTCTTTTTTTGGAGGGGGGGGTGCGGCGGTTTGTCTCTCAATATAGTTATAGTCAAGTCTTCTTTGGCACCACTACTAATCTTCCCAAATTTTTGGTGCAGGATAAATATGACTGTGTTTAGACACTAGACTCTCCAGGGAAAATTCAATTATCCAGGGATTTTAAACATTACTATTCCATAAGTGAGCTTCAGGGAACTTACGAGCCCCTAGAAAATGTATGCACTCTCGTGGAAGTGAGAATATAAATCTTTATGTTTAAAGAGTCTGAAACTTTGATTAGATTATCGGGGCCCTTGCAGGCTGATCTAATTACTTGACGGCATCCCTCCATTTGCACTGATTCAGCTTTCATTGATTTAACTTGCTGCTCTTAAAAAGTGAATCATTCTGGTTGAAGTCTCTCTTCTTCGATTTCAGAAATGGAGTGCTTGCCATCCAAGGTAAATTATCCTTTATTCCCAAAGTAAGGTGAATTGGATTAGCAGAAAACTATTATCAAGGTTTTATAATTCTTTTAGGACAAACAAACATCCACAAGATGCCAAGAGAAAAGTGCTAGTAACTCTGTGTTCAGCTCTTTAGATGGAAGAAATGTTGCAGGAAGAGAGTATTAGTCGCTTGAATTACTTCCTTCCCTAATATCTATGTTAGTTCTACAAAATCACACATAACTGTAAATGAACTTGTGAGGATTATGGTAGTATAGGGATGAAGCATGAGTTCATTGCACCAGTATTGGTTTTGCCATGAGCCCAATATTGGGCACAGCATCCCAGGAGCATTGAGGGAAAACCATAGACTATAGAACTTTCTCCAACTGAACTGCGGTGACCTAATTGCCCGTGAATATTCCAAATAAAATCTATTGGATAAAATTTAAATCTGTAGGGATAACCACAACCTTGGTTTCACTTTATATTCTGAGCACCAATATTTAGTAGAAAAAGAGTCTCACATAAATGCCAGAGTTAGTCATCTACCAATGTCAGTAAACTGAATGGCAACCTTCTGCTCAAACATCTTACCAAAGTGAAAATCTCCTGAATGTTATTTTCCAGAATCATTAATTGGGCATTCTTTTGAACCTACTCAAAGGGGAGGTTATCTCCCATAAAGGTTTGCTTTTCACAACATTGTGTCTGTCTTCAGAATTTGTTGTTACTATTATTTTATCTGTTGCCTTTAGGATTCTTAATATTCGCCTGTTTACTTTCTTTTCTTTCTTTTTTTCAAATATTGTTTTCAGAGAAGAAGGGAGAGGGAGAGAGAAACATCAATGATGAGAGAGAATCACTGATCGGCTGCAACCCTCCTCCCCCTCCCCCACACTAGGGACTGAGTCTACAACCCAGGCACTTGCCTTTGACCAGAGAGAGAGAAATCCTATTGGTTTTTCCTTCAAACTACACCTAGAATCTGATTGCTTCTTACCATCTCCTCTCCTACAATCCTGGTCCAAGCCACCTTTATTTTTTACCCAAATTATTGCAATGGCCTCTGTCAGGTCTTTTTGCTGCTACTTTGCATTCCTACAGCCTGTTCTCTGCACAGAAGGTAGGTGATCATTTTTAAACATAACCAGATCAGGTCACTCCTCCATGCAAAACCCGGCATTGGTTCCCAGTTTCACTCTGCGTGAAAGCTTAGGTCCTAATAGTGACCCTCCGTGGCCTACGTACTCTATCTCCCCATTCTGATTTTCATCTTCTTATCTTGTTCTATATGCTCCTCTTGCGTTCTCTTTTCTGGCCATAACGACTTAGCTGCTGCTCCCCAAACACAGAGGGCACACTTCTACCTAATGCCCTCGCATTTTACTTTTTCTGTCTACGCCCACTGCCTGGAATAATCTTCCCTCAGACATCTATTTAGCTAACTCCTTCACCTCCCTTAAGCTTTTGCTCATGTCTGACTGCCTCAATAAAGTTGACCCTAAATTTCCTACTTGATATTTTAGTCTTTTTTCTTTTCTGATGAATTATCAATAGTAACTAATAAGTGTGAGAGATGAGAGAGGGAAGGAGTTAGGTTGATACTCATATGATTGTTTGGTGATGATATTATCACACACTGGATAGGAATCTCAGTAGAATATTCTTTGGGTGTAGATGATGGATCCCATTGAGGTGCCTATTGGACATTTGGTTAAAGAATATAGTAGGTAATGGCATACATGGGGCTACATAGAGATATAGAGGCATTTATGTTGAAATCATAAAAATACAGATGATAATTTAAATCACAAAATTTTTAGTATGTATAGTAACAACAGAAGAGGGCTTGCTACAATCATTAAGAAATATTATTTAATATTTGGGAAAAGAAATTAGAACCAAAAAAAAGATTAACAAGTTTCCAGAAAGTGAGAAGAAAAATGTGTATATTATGGGAAAGAAACAAACATCTTTAAGTGATGATAGAAAAAAAAATAAAGGGAAAGAATCTGAAACTAAAGAAAAAAGAAAGAAGACAAAATTGATGAAATGAGGAGGGGGCCAAAGAGGAGGGGGTTTCTAGAAGATGGTAAAAGGGATTTAAGTATTTCAGGTATTAAATGTATGTACAATTTATTTCAAGATGCAGAATAATGTGTGATTACTATGGAAGAACATGACAGATGGAATGGATTCCCATGGTCTAAAGTATATGTGTGTGGAGGGAAAAGAGGAGCAAGTACCAGGTGATGCTTTGAAAACACAAACCTTATTCAAACCAGATTTATACAGCCCCCGCTAACTA